TCCACCCGTTCAGAGTTTCTAGTTAGAAAGACAAAGTATTATATTAGACTTACTTTTATAGATTGACCTTTCAGATCCATTTCATCTTCACCATGTATATATGACTCATACAATTTGATATTTAACGATCATTCTCCGCAAATTAATAAGGCTTTTGCCGCGTCATTCTAAACTATTACTGCATAAACTTATAGTGTGGTGTCGAGTCGCGGTTGACCATGATCACCACTATAGGCAGACTACGTTTCAAATACCAGGTCCGATCTCTCGGTAGACCAACTATCAGAAGGCAATTGAAGATTGTAGTAAGACGCATTTGTTGGCGATCTCGTGGTATCGAAATAATACCGAGATCGTGCCAAAGTTTACAAGAGGGACTACAGAGTGTACGCGGGTTCGTGCAAGGTCACATGCAATGGAAGAATGTGTGTTTTTAGTACACTTAAAAAAACAGGTACAGCAAAACAATCACTGGTACAATTGGTTATAATAATAATTGTTTCCATTATGCCAATCGCGTTCTATTCATAAAAGTAGGTCACTACAAACTCTTATTCTACCATCAAATCTTATTGCATTCATGATTGGTTTTGTGGTTCTTTTCGTAATATAAGTTACTGTTTACCCTTATTATTTCACTAACATAATAAGTTATCTACATATTTCACTTTCTTTCCTTTCTTATTTCTCTAAAGCCAACTAAGTATTTTTTTAAATGCTACAGAAACTGTTTAAATGAGGTGATACTGTGAAAATATTATTGAACTTTGTGTATTATTGAGTTTCTGAATAAACCCGAGATCGTTTCTTCACAATAATAACTGTAATTATTGTTATGAAGTGAAAATTTGTAGTGGTTGTAACTACATACATACCATTCTAACTACGGATAAGTACATAATCAATTCTGAAATGTTCTTAAATTTGAGTTTTATTCTTGATTTCAAAGGTAGCAGTACTAATAGTCATTCTAAATAATGGTAAACCTAGCATGCATAGTAAGATTTAGGGAGAAAATGTGACAAAACAGAAATACTACTCTAGATATTTTTGTCTTTTTGCTATTGGAACTTATATGTAACTGCATTTCTGACGAAACCAGGAATGGTTTCTTTACAACACTTATGAACCAATAAGTTGTTTGTGAATAATAACATTAATTACCGTAAACTAGTTGGGGTTGTGCATTTTTCGACTATGGACTATGGCATGCTTGCAGAGCAGGAAACAACTAATGTTTTAGCAAATAAATAAGTTTTCGGTTCTCAGTAAGTTAGCTACTGATATTTCCATGGATTAAAATATTTTCTTTTGGACAAACTTTACGCGACTCATTCAGAAAGTATTATTCCTGAGCTAGTAGAAACGTTTATTTCTTGGAACTGGTAACAACCCTATGTCCCTAATTAACTTATCTATTCGATGTAATTCAGGTTTGACTACCTGAGCTCATTGAGCAATAGCCGGTTGAATAACTGAATGGTCATATTTGTTTAGGTAAACACGTGCATTTAAGTTTAGAACCTCGTGTCTTCCCGTTTCTTCTCCAATCATTTTGTTTTGTTTACGGACTGGCCAAGAATATGTGTACAAACTAACTTCCGCAGTTACCATCTCTACAGCGACCAAAATTCCGGGATTCGGTATGAATAAGTTATCAAACCTACGTTATTTGATTGGGCCAAACTACGTTCTCCTGTATATCGTACGAAGCGTTTTTTAGCAGGTGGTGTTAAATTACATCAAAACACAAAGAATATGTATAATTTGATCTGTTCTGATCTAAGAACAGAAACAAATTATATAAAAGCGCAAAATACCTCACATGGAATAGCTTGTGCATTACAGTCAAAGTTTAGTCTATGATGTAATGACGTGCCAAACAGGGGAATAAATGGTTGATAAATAAATATTCAGTACATGAGAAACAATAAGAGTATGGAGTGGCATTGATACAACTTGTGTTCTCCTTGAGCAGCACTCGCTGTTTATCACCTTGTAAAGATTGATTAAGCCGAAAACGTCGTTCAACACCATGTAGCCTATACTTGTGACATATGAGCTCTGTCGATTTCAACAACTTATGATGGCTCTATTCCAAATAAATCTGTCTTTACCTTAATCCAAACTCGATTCTTGCGACTAACTTGTATGCACCATCAGCCCGTAAGTGTGAATATAAATAAATGGTTTAATGCACATCAAAGCACTGAGTCTAGAAAAAGTCTCTCACGGATCCACTCATGTCCAACGGATAAATGTTAGCTATCTATCGGAGACTGACATGATTATCATTACTTTCATGTATTAAAAGGATTTTTGATAACCATTCATATGTATTGACAGTTTTATCCAATCGTATCACGGTTAATCAATAATGTGATCAAGATCTCTCCACAACTAGATAGACCGTTTTAAACTTGAGAATCTGACTAAAACACCGGTTGGAATTCTTCCTCTCCGCCGTTATACTTTTGTAACCGGAAATCAAGTCATACGGACAGCCTACCGACATAAACGTTAACTGACTCTCTAACTTAAACTAAAGATAATAATAATATAAAGATTTCGATAATATTGAGTGTTTATTTGTTTCCAAGCACAAAGTACTTATACCTCGCACAAGCCAAGCTATTAACGAACGGTTATTACTATGCATCTTAATTATTCTACATTATTACAATGCATGTTTGTTTAACACTTGAATTTTATCCACGTACATTTTCATTTCGAGTATGCGAGAACTAAACCAAGCATTTCGGAATTATTGAACTTATTTCCCGATCAGTTAATGCAGCCTTCTTTTTATTTGTCTTATTATTCTTTTGGTAATCTCGGGTATGGCTTAGCCTTACAGAGGTAGTCATCCTTGTAACAAATCCCTATTCACATTGAAATAAACTATTATATCCCCGGCCCAAATGCCTTCACCAGAAGTGCTAAAAATTGTTATGCTGTGTCACCATACAACGAGTTAGAATGGATAATGCTGCGACCTCCACGCGAGATCTTGTAGATCAGGTAGTCACGTCAAGACAAATTTATAATTTTGGGACTAGGTATATTATCATAGTAGTAATAACGCCGAATAAGACCATAATTCTACAAGTGTTTCCGACAAAATAAGATGAAAATATCTATCTGCGTAATTTCGAGTAGCCGTTTTCAGCAGGCAGTCAAAGGTCAACTGTTATTAGCTGAACCATATTGTAAACCTGACTTTAGCCAAAAACTGCCTTGTCGTCACCAATCCGGTTATATGCAGCAGTAAGATCAAGTAATGAAGGTAAATCCTTAACCAAAGTCAAATAGTGAAGGCCAAGACAAGGAAGACTGAAGAATATGTCGTGGTTACAAGAGATATGGGTAAAAATTAAAATATAGGACAGGGAGAAAGAACAAAGAAATAGAAATACTGTCCAGTAGTACACTTGAGAAGGATCTTCAGCGTAGTCTTTACTGTACTCTGATTCCAACTCGCTTTAGATTGTCACTGAGATATATACAGTTGCCGTTACAACATCAAACTGGTAAGCTCAGCTATAGCATAGTACGCGATCAAAAAATTAGCAATATTTGTACTGTTACCTGGTAGCGAGTAGTGGAGTGGTAAATAAACTCGTAAAGTAAATAGTTTTGCAAGGCTTCGAAATTGGTGCTGATATGATCAGTTTTACCTGACGCATTATAGCTGAGGGCCCTCTGTTACTCATACTCATCAGATCACCAACGTCGTGCTGTGTTGCCCTCTCAACAACCAGGCAGCCATTTTTCAATACACAGAATACCTTAATACTTCTTTACTGCTGATTTCCGGTTTGACTTCGAGTAAGACATAAGTAAGATAGTGGTCAGTAACGTCAACAACATAAATTCTGATTACTGTTCAGAGGTTGTAAACAATAACATAATTGTAATCCTGGATAAACTGAAAGCGGGACAGAATATATGTTAACACAAAAACATCAGAAGAAACGATATACATCCAAGTCGACTCAATCTATAAGCCAATAAGAAAAAAAGACTAGCAACTCGACGAAGAGAGGTCAGATCAGTAATAAAAACAACCAAAGAAACGTACCAAAAATGGCCATACACATGGACAACAACCAATAAAACTATTGGTTGACGGAGCGAGCAGCTAGTCAGCCGCGGAGAAATTCAAATATCTCACTTCTTATTGAAATGTTTACTGATGATTCCGTCAAGAAAGACTGTGGAAGCATCACGATTAAGCCATCCTAACCAGACAACGAAAAATCCTCAAAATACTCATTCTGAGCTATGAATATTCGCCCTTATCCCAACTTGGTTCTTGGCTGATAAGGGTTGTCAGAATGAGCCTACAAATATTTTTTCCAGAAGGTGATAAAAATCACATATCAGACACAAAAATTTTGCTTATTAATTTGAAGAAGCTATTTAGTCGCCTCGGCTTATTTTGTCTGACCAGCGGAAATGGTTCATTTTAGCCAGTCGATCTTCAGAAGACAGATTTTGTGTTCCAGGGATATGCTGAGCTCACTATGATATTTTGGATAAAATGAAATACCCGAGTTTAGACCGATTTCATGGAAGTCTAAATATACACTTGACCAAGTCGCATCAAGTACTTTTAGAACGTCGTTCTCAAAAATAGAGATAAGGTACTCGTAACATTCTTTTCAAGGGTATACATCTGTCGAATCCTTACAACGAATAACTCAGCTGAATCTTTCTGCATGCTCAACTCTGCTTATAACTGTCTGAATGATCAGTGAACAAGGAGAGAAATTGCAAATATATAGGAGTAACCGAGTTTAATATGTCAATTAATACATATTTTTAACCATTTCAGTGGTTGAAAGGTGTAGTGAACTAAATTGTATCTTGAAAGTTTGTTGACCTTACGTTGTTTTAAACAAGCAGAGAGACCTAGATTAACCAATAGCTTTTAGACACATTTGTTAGTCATATTTTTAAGTCCTGTTTCGCGTTGTGGGTGTCAGGATCTTCTAAATATGGGGAGACCATGGGATCTGTCCGTGGTACATAGCCTAGTGGTAGTTAGTAAGTTATGGTTTCACTTTTTTATTCAATGGAAATAGCTGTATTGGCATGTGTCTTGTGTGATCCGTCATCGTTACTGTCTGATATTCCTGTATCAAAACCTAATGAGGGACTTTCAACAGCCTCAGACACTTTAGCTAAGTAAGTTTCACGAATAATACTTTTATATCATGCTAGAGAAGAGGGGGCAATCAGCTTGGATGGTCTAAGCGTTGAACAGTTGAGGCAAGCACGGGAACATGCTGAAAAACGACAGTTTGAGGCTGAGGTTGATCGCATGATGAAAATAATAGTTAACTCTCTGTACAAAAATAAGGAGGTAATGTCGGTTTTTTCTTTGACTGTGTAGATCTTCCTTAGAGAATTAATATCAAATGCATCAGACGCTCTGGATAAGATTCGCGTTCTTTCGCTTACTAACAATGAAGTTCCTAACGAGTCTGACGAAATGAAAATCCAAATAAAAGTAGGTTTTCTTAGTAAACATTTAACAACCCTTTAAGGCCAATAAAGATGCACGGACACTTCATATAATAGACACAGGCATAGGCATGACAGAAGCTGAACTTACCTCTAACTTGGGAACCATTGCTAAGTCTGGAACATCTGAGTTCTTGACTAAGATCTCTCAAAGTAATACGGCCACAGAAAAGTCTGACCTTATTGGCCAGTTTGGTGTCGGGTTCTACTCCTCTTTCTTAGGTTTGTACACATAAATAATTTGTTCATATCTTAGTTGCAAACAAAGTTTTGGTTGTATCCAAGAGTGATAATGATGACCAGCATATCTGGGAGTCCAATTCCACTTCATTCGTAGTTTACAAAGACCCACGTGGAAACACCCTCAAACGTGGGACTGAAATTGTCCTATACTTAACGGAGGAGGCAGAGGATTATTTACAACCCGAAACTCTTAAAGAAGTTGTGAAAAAATACAGTCAGTTTATCGATTTTCCCATTTATGTGTGGTCGAGTCGAGTGGAATCGCAGGCTGCTGAACCCGAAGAAAAGGAGGAGTCAAAAACAGCTGATTCTGAAGCTAGCGTAAGTGTTTCCTTTAATTACGATTTCTTTTAGGTTGAAGAAGAAAGTGGAAAAAAAAGTGAAAGCAAGACCGTAGACAAAGTCGTCTGGGACTGGGTACGTGTGAATGCAAATAAACCTATTTGGAAACGCAAACCGGCCGACGTTACTGATGCGGAGTACAATGATTTATTCCGTGCCTATTCAAATGATAATGACGATCCTCTCGCCAAGATTCATTTCAGTGGTGAGGGAAATGTGTTATTCAGTTCAATACTGTATATACCAAAACATCTTCCCTCTAACATATTCCAGATGCACAGTACTCATAGTGATAGGATCAAGGTAAGTATTTTATACTATGTACTAAAATATTCTGTAGTTGTACGTTCGTCGTGTATACATTTCTGACGCAGCCGATGATCTGCTTCCTAAATACTTGGCATTCGTTTTTGGTATAGTGGATAGTGACGAACTTCCTCTAAATGTTTCTCGTGAAATGCTGCAGCAAAACAAACTCCTTAAATTGATAAAGATAAGATTGGTCAAGAAAGTAATCCAGATGATTAGCGAACTTTCTGAATCTCAGTTTAAAAATTTCTGGAAGGAATACTCTGTGAACATAAAACTTGGTATAATTGACGATCTTCCAAATCGCACTAAGTTATCCAAGTTCCTACGGTTTTGGACTTCAAACAGCACTGAAAACCAATCAAGTCTTGCAGATTATGTTTCACGCATGAAAAATGGTCAGGAAGATATATACTATCTTACCGCATCTTCAATAACTGAGGCGAAGTCATCTCCATTTGTAGAAAGGCTAATCAAGAAAGGCTATGAAGTCATTTATATGATCGATCCTGTTGACGAGTACATGCTTCAGTCGCTAACTGAATATGATAAGAAAAAGTTACGAAATGTGGCAAAGGGAACGATCGAAATCGACAAATCGGAAAAAGCAAAGACTCGTAAAGAAGAACTAGAAAAAGAATTCAAACCTCTCTTAGAATGGTTCAAGGAAAATTTGAAAGAATATGTCGATAAAACTGCCTTGTCAGAAAGATTATCGAATACTCCATGTGCTCTTGTCGCTAATGAATTCGGTTGGTCCGGAAATATGGAGCGCATTATGACTGCACAAGCATATCAAAGGGGTGGAGATCCATCATCTACTTATTACTCTACTATGAAAAAGGTCTTTGAAATTAACCCACGCCATCCAGTAATGAAAAAGTTAAACGTTCTTATAAAGACCTATAAAGATGATCCTACAATAACTCATACTGCGAATTTGCTCTTCGATGTTGCGGTCCTTCGTTCAGGTTTTTCTGTTAAGAACCCTGTTGCTTTCGCAGAACGAGTTGAATCTGTTGTAAAGAAAAGTTTAGATATTGATCAAAGCGAGTTGCTGGACGAAGAACCTGAGACTGATGAGGAGTCTGTAACGGATGAAGTGAATAAAGTAAGTTGATAATGTAAGTGTAATTTATACATAGGAGTCGATTTCAAATGAAGATTCAACGAACGAAAAGTCAGAAGCATCTTCGCAAATTGATGTAAGTTCATTATCTGGTGCTTGGTATTTTTGCATGTTGACTTTCGGAATGCTAAACTTAGTTTTTTCATTTTTCATGGATAGGAAAATCAACCAAGTTCACCAAAGGATGAGCTTTGAACGCATTTGTATTATCTCGCCGATCCTGTCCCACTTTTCATTGTTTTTGGACTCATCTCCAAATTTCCAAACAGCCTTTATCCGCATGTGACTTGCATGTTTTCTTGAAGACGTAGGAATCGTTTGTTGTTCATCTCGTTTTGAATTTAGAAATATACTTTTGTATGCATTACCAGTTTTCTGTTCCACTAACAACACGACTAATATATGATACTGCTCAAAAACCAAGTACAGATTCATGAACTCAGTTCAGTTACATTCCTTACTTAGAGGCTAGTGATAGTATTTGACGGTTGAAGTAGAGTTAAGTGAAGTAGAAATCAAACATACTGTCGGGGTAGCTTCAGTCTAAATGTTCCCTCATTGCATATCTCTCGGTTAGAATACACTTACTGCCAGTGGAGCGGTGGCATACTCGTTAAGGCGCTTGACTTTCAACCAATAAGTTAGTTCCGTTGGTCTAATTAGTGTGGAATTAAGAAAATTGTGGTAAATGAGTGTCTTGGTCTAAATTTTGGATAGTAGGACTATCTTTTAGTAACTGTATGATGATCGTATGGGAATGTCTATCAAAATCAATGGCTAAGTGCTCACTTCAATAAGTTTCCGTCAGAGATAAGCACCAACTTCATAGCTAACAAGCTTATCAGAAATCTATTGACTAGCATCATTGGCTGGAGCATTTTCTTAACGTTTGATACTATGTCAATTCTTAGAGTAACTCCCTTCACACCTAATGTAGTGCGAGCGACGAGGCAATAACATAAGCCCTCACACATGAGGACCTGGTGATTGAGTAAATTTACTTATTATTCACACTACACTGCGATCCTTACAGCTGTGTTTTGGATATATATTACCTATGCAGAGTACTGTTCACTGAATACCCATGTGGCAACCCTAGTACTAGTTAGAAGAGTGAGTGATAAGATACCACTTGGTTCATTTACTAGAACTAACTATCTGTTAGTTTTAAAGTTGGTCAAAAAGATATGGTTTAGTATCGTCAAACTATACGCGACCCAAAGAGTTAGTTGAAGTTAATTATGAAGTTGTAGGAGGCGAAATATGAGTTATCATAGTAGAAGTGATTGTTACCTTAGAATTACGTAACCCAGATTCTCTTGCATCTTTGTGAGGCTAACTTTTTGGAGCCAGCTTAGTTTTCGCTGAGATTCGTACTAGTAAGCTTCCTCGACCTATTTAAGGGTACATTATTTATTTGTTTGAAGTTAACAATGATGTATATTAAAAGGTGGGTTTTTTGTAGAATTCTATGAATAATTTAATCTTCACTGAGAAATAACTGCAGTCGATTTGTTGTTACTTATTGGCCTGAAAGTCGATCATAGATTACTGTCTTATGCTTCACTCAATCATTTGCATTATGGCTCTGTACGTTTTGCAATATGGGATACTTTTGTTATATTAGTGGTAGATACAGACTACCTAATTGAAGTCTGTGCGATGATATCAGTCAGTGATTTGAGAGTTTCAGAGTCATGATTTAGAATCAGTTCCACTGATCAAGATGCACTCACTGTTTATCTTCCTCCAGATCTTAAGCTCCAACATTTCTTCATTAATAACTTTTCATTCTATCTTTCCATACCGTATTCTCAGTGTTAAATCTTTCTCATCATCATTGTTACATTATTTTGAGTCTCTTTGGTATTCATCTTGTTGAATTAATTCTGTCATGGTGTAGTGGCTTATATCAAATCAGTTTTGTAACAAGTTGTACACTAATTATTACTGACTTAAGGGAAGCCGATCTTTATTAACGAAAACCCACTTATCTATTACCATTTTTGAGGATTTCATAGATCGTCAGTTAATCTTAGTATTTTAGGATTGGGTTATGACTAAAATGACGGTAAAATACAGACGTCTTGTAAGTTTGGGTAATTTTTTCATATTTTCTCTTCATTTGATTTGTTGTCCGTCTTTACATTGTTGATTAGCATATAATCGGGTTGTATTTTGTTGGATTCTGAAAGTCTAAATAATATGCCAAACCTCGTATTAATTATATCTGAGTATCTTTGCATGACCGACACTTTTTAATTGTGCATATGTGAAGACGAATATGTCATTTCATGCTTATATTATTTCCAACCACAAAATGTAAGGTTTATTTAGCATTTCTCACCAAATAATTTGTTTTATGTATATTTTCAACTGTTATGGAATTTGTAATAATTATTTCATAACTCATTCACATGTTATTATTAGCTCCAGTTTAAGAGGGTTTTGTTAATTAGAAATGAGAAGGAATTCATTTACTAAGTACATGTCTATGTGCAAAACTTTTAATCATACTGATACTGTCAGTATCAATTATACTGCCTGAGGGATCACGTCACTTATCTAAAAATCACGGAGTATCATAGTGTATTAACATATGGATAAGTTGGGTAGCCCCTGAAAACAATCTCCATATTGGTTCGCTAATTGCCGACTTAAAATATCTATTATATGTGCTACGTATGATATCCATTATCGCTTAATCGACTAGACATGACTGAAAATAGATAACCTAATCTTATCCCTAACCATACTATGTACAACACAATCTACTTTATTTTAGGTTAGCACACCTGTATTCTGTCTAAAATATCCTGGTTACTTGAGACAAATATAAGACGTTCCATCTTATTTTTACTCTACTACAGAATTAGCCTCTCATATACTTGGTGAGAAGTGTAAACTTGGTATTTATTACCTAAATGAGAGATTTGAGGAGACGAATTTCACTTAAAAATAGTCTTTGTTAAGGGCTGATAACAGGTTTGTTTTTAATTTCCATTGGGCAAGAGCATGAGTATCTGAACTAATCTCCACAGTCTTCACTAATTTAAAACCGCTTTAGTTCGGAAACAACAGTCCCACCAGATCTACTTCCTTACTAGTTTGCTACTTATCTTCCGTGGGAAATATACCTACCAAAGACAAAGGAAGATGGTGGCTCAGTATTGTGGATTGACTGAATCCAGACTTGTACAGTAGTGGATCTCAGCTGATTGGTCTAAAAGTTAAGTGTTCGAGTTATACCCAAGTCCCTAAGTTGGATTCCCGGTTAAGGAGTCGTGTATTTGCATTAGGACAAAACGGCCATCCAGTGCCCTAAGGCTTTTAATAGTTGTCTAAATTATATCGGTTCGGGATTCCGATGAAATCCATCTACCTCCACAACTCCATGCTGACAATTAATTTTTTGTTATCTAATTGGCTCTTGTGTTGTATGAAGACTTATAGTGATCAATAAATATTAGTTGATGAAACTAATTGAATTTCTGACGTCCGATCTATGATCGTTATAACAGTCCTTTGAGAGTGTGTTATGCAAGAACAGAGAACTTGAAAAATTTTCAGAATCATCTCACTTCAAATTTTCCCGACAATAGGAATTCTTTTTTACTACACTCATTAATTTATTCCATACCAATAACTATAACCGATTGATCTCTTAAATGATAGGATGGTAGGATAACGTTCTTAGATGAAACATTTAAGAAATAGATTAAGTGTGAATTATAAATTCCTTACAATTCTAACTATTAAAGAAAAAGAAATGGTTTTGAAGCATAAACTTAAAGTGTATGGAGTGAAACCATCTCATATGTAGTGTTTTCTCTGTGTGTGTATAGTGTTTCGGATAAATATAGTGATCTTGGGGTTGTTTAAGTAAGAGCACAATTATATGAACTGATTTTTAGCCTTTGATACAATAATACCTATGAATCACACATGAATTATCCGTCACTATTACAATATAGATCATAGCACATTTTCATTGTACAAAAGATATCAGGATCAATGAAGGGTTGTGGAGATTGTTGACTTTTGATTGAAATCATGAACGGATCAGTGTTATACCACTATTGATCTCAGAGTTCTAGTGAGAAGCTTTGAATAATGGAGCTAATCCGTGAAGACAATGGAACCTGGTCGCGAAATCTCTTGGATTAGTTGAAGTTGGACATTAACAACTTTGGATGCCGGCTCAGTGGTCTAGAGATGAAGCGTTCGTGAACGAGACCGAAGGTTCTGGGTTTGTTTCCAGCATCCGGACTCGTGGATGCGCACTTCTGAGTAGTCTCATACTAGAACGAAATGGCCGTCCAGTGCTTCCAGTTTTCAGTGGTAGTCTAATATATCAGGATTTTTTAAACATTCAAAATAACCAATTTATCAGCTTTGAACAAACTATCAAATTTTAGAAACTATAGAATTCGAAGCCTTGAATATTCATTGAAGATTTCAAGTTAACACTAACTAATATCATGTCTGGATACAATGAAAGAAATACTAACCCTTTCTAATGTTAAGAGGTATGAATAAAACGTCAACTAATGTACAACTATTTTTCAATAAAATATTTTCCTGTAATAGCTAAAATTATAAAAATTCAACCAATGCATCCACCAGTTGATATCTACCTCAGTATATTTTGTCCAAAAGGTAAATCGATTTATTTTAACTCACTTACTATTTCAAATATCAGTTGGTCACTTAAATTTCTAAATTTTATTTTTATTATTTTCTAAAATCATAAATGATAATGCTAATGTCATATCGTACCAGTCTAGTGAGGTTCAATTTATTAACAATGTATAGTGGCTTAGTTATAGTAAATTAGCATTATCGGATGATGAATACAATTTCTTGTTGTCTTGATTTATACTTACTAAAATCCAGTTCCGTTTAAACATTTGGTTAAAAGGAATGAAATAACAGTAATTTTAGTTTTCTGTGTGTGCCGACATCAAATCTTTTCAAGATGTTTTTGATACAGTTTAATGAAGTGCTGTGTTTGTGGGCGTAACTGGGTAGTGACTGAGTAAAAAAAGTAGGGATTTTTTCAGTGAAACAATTTCGAATGTCACTTCAACCTTTGAGTAACGGTAGTTTCAAACTGAAAGTTCTGTTTACTTTGCATGTGATATTAGAAAAATTATTGTTCCATCCCATTATCTCTAATATACTGAGTAGGCTACATTCATCCATAACTGACTGCCATAGAAATATCAAGTGTATTGTGGTGCCCAAAATCCTCAATGAACCGTACAAGTTTCGTAAAAGTAAATAAAATCTTTAATAAAGATTACACTCGAATACGTAATAATCACCCAGTGAATAAACAAGAAAGGAACAGAAAGTGTTGGGTTAAATATACTTAGTTAACATGAAAAAGTTACAGATAACTTGAGATTATGACGTAAAATGCTTATAATTAGGAAAGTACTGTCACAGTGCTTAAGCAAACGTAGATTAAATAGAAAAGTAATTAGATTTAGATAGGTTAGTTATGATAGCCGATCAAATCAGTTTGAACTTCATTACCGAAATTTAATGCTTATTCATTAATAATAGTTTCATGCAACTGTACTTTCATCATTACGAATACATCAATATTCAAATTAAGTAGTTTTGAATTTTGATAGGATATCGTTTGAATATAATATCATCAATGTAATATAATATTAACATAATATTAAAAAATTGGATATTTTGATACTCGCATTGTTAAATCGAATAATAGTTTTAGTGAGAAGTCGTTACCAGTGGAGTTCAACCAGGTCTGCTGTGAGATATCAACTCACTGAAGACAATGGTGTACGGTGGCGCAACTTCGTGGATCGGTTGAAGTTAAACATTAACATCGTTGGATGCCATATCAGTGGTCTAGTGGTTAAGTGCTCGCGCGCGAAACCAGTATGCCCTGGGTTCGAATCTCGCGGAGGGCAGCGTCATGGATGCGCACTGCTGAGGAGTCCCATACTGGGACGAAACGGCCGTCAAGTGCTTCCAGGTTTTCCATGGTGGTCTAGCTTCAATTGACTCATGATTTCAACCAGTGGAATTTCTAAAAATCTCCACAAAACCCATTCTGATAATTTTTTTATGTTGAGTAAGTTTACTAGTATTTTGAATGTAAGATGGGAATTTTGAGAAACAATATATCAAGTTCATGGAAATATCCTATTAGAAATTGCTAAACAGTGAAAATGTTTGTTCGTTTATTTATCTAATCTAAAGGCCACCTTTTATCTCATCCATTAAGATCATCTAATGAAATATTTGAAAGTTAAATAGAATCAAGCAGTTGTTGTTTAACATCTTGACAAGATCGATGGTCGTGGATTTGATTCCCAACTGTTGGATCAGGGATTCTTACTACTGATGAGTTTCATATTAGAAAGAAGCAGCTATTCAATACTTTCATGTTTTTGATAGTTGTTTAATCTAGATAGATTTTTGATCTCAATATTAATTAACTGTCTACACGGCCCTATCCTGATAATCATCTTCTTAACTGTTAACCTTTTCATATGTACATACCCACTACACAAACAGTCGACTTGTACTACTGAATATGACGTTAAACATTAACAAAACGAATGAACCATTATACACCGAAATGACTTTAGTTTGTAAGTAAAATGTGTTTGTCAATGAATGCGTTTGAATGGTATGCATTTATTTGTTTCTTTATTCTTAATATGATTATATTTTTGCATGAGAATGTTAACTTCTTTGCTTACTAAATCGAATTTAATTGCAGTTTGTCGTAGTTTGAATTTTTATGCTGTAGCTGTTAATGAACTTTGAACGTATATCCGATGAACTGTTATGAAGCAATCATGAGGTAGACCATTGAAATATTAAATGACTAGTTCAGTTGTTTCAAGTTTACATCATTATTAATTTATTCGAAATTATTTAGGTTAACTATCTGAGTCAATGCAAACTGAATAGTTTTAGTTAATCAGTTACTTTGAGTGTTAATACCAAATAATATTAGAAAGATATTGAAGTGCACAATATGGTTTCTATATAACATGAAAATTATCTTCAGTTGTCACAGTAATATTGATATCAGATAGAATACTCTTTATGAGTCATGGTTTATTGAATTTGGCGTTTGATTTTAATTTAAACTAGGCGGTTGTAGGCTATAACTCGCAGTTTACTTTTGAAGGTTAGATAGCTAGGTATCATTATAACCCATTGATATAAATGATAACAGAATATATTATTATGGTTGTGGTATTATGTTTCGTGTGTTTGATAATTCACCAATTACTCTTAAACAGCAAATATAATGTTCTGAAGAGTAGTGACAATCACGAAGGCTTTGTGTCAAAAAAGCCCACATTAATTGCTATGTAATATGCATTAAGAATAAACTGTATTTCTTCAAGTGAATGTATCTCTTAAATATATATGGTACTGTGAAAATAGTAAACTCAAGAGTATTTATAGTAAATAGACCTTATTTGTACAAATCTGCACCTGATTCAGAAGGATGATACCACTTAATACTTACACCTGTTGACCCTCGTAGAGGAGCATAGGCCGCTCTCCAACATTCTCCATCCAACTCTGTCCTGGACAATTCTTTCCATTGGTTTCCAGTTGCTACTAACCCTTTAGTGTCTGCTTCCGATTCCCGAGGCAGTGTGTTCTTTGGCCTTCCACTTTCCCGGTTCTCATCAGGATCCCAAGCTAGTGCATGCCTGATGATGCAGTTTGATGATTTCCTCAATGTATTTCCCATCCACTTACGTCTTTTCCTAATTTTCGCTGTAGCTGGAAGCTGGTTTGTTCCTTCCTGCAGCAGGTAGTTGCTGATGTTATCCAGTCAACGGACATTGAGTATCTTGAGTAGAAAATTGTTTAGAAATGCCTTTACCTTTTTGATGATGATTGTGGTGGTTTTTCAAGTTTCAGCACCATACAGTAGAACGGTCATGACGTTCGTATTGAAGATTGTGACTCTGATATTGGTTGAAAGTTGTTTTGAGTTCCATATGTTCTTCAAATGTAGGAACACTGCCCATACTTTACCAATCCTCGCCTTTACATCTGTATCATATCCTCCTCGTTCATCGACGATGCTTCCCAGATAAGTGAAACTTTCCACCTCTTCTACAGTTTCTCCACTAAGTGTGATTGCGTTTGTGTTCTCTGAGTTGTGTTTGAAGATGTTACTTTTTCCCTTGTGCTTATCACGACATGTATTTGCTCACATGTATGGGATAGATGAGCCAGGTCATCTTCGAAGAACAAATATTCTAATTGATTCCGAGCTGTCTATTGTGTTCCGCGCCCCCAGTCAGATGTCGAGGTCTTCCTAAAATAGTCAGCCGCCAGAAGAAACAGGAAGTTAGAGAGTAGACAGTCTTGTCTGACTCTGGTCCTTACTTGGAATGCATCTTTCAGCTGTCCTCCATGCACTACTTTGCACTATAGTCCGTTGTATGAATTCCGGATGATATTGACGATCTCAGGAACTCCGTAGTGTCGAAGAAGTTTCCATAATGTTCTCCTATTTACACTGTCAAATGCCTTTTCATAATCAATGAAGTTGATGTATAGTGATGAGTTCCACTCAACTGATTGTTCAACGATGATCCGTAGTGTCGTGATTTGGTCTGTACACAAGCGATCCTCACGGAATCTAGCCTGCTGATTTCGAAGTTGGGCGTCTACTGTGTCTTTCATCCGGTTCAGCAACACTCTGTTAAAGACTTTCCCAGGTACTGACAGTAGTATGATGCCTCTGTAAATCTCACATTTGCTCAGATCTCCTTTCTTTGTTATCTTGATAAGCTTTCCTTATTTCCAGTCCATCGGCACTTGTTTCTCCTCCCAAATTTTCCTTAACAGAACGTGAAGGATACTTGCCGTTACTTCTATGTCTGGCTTCAAAGCTTTGACTGATGCATTGTCTGGTCCTGATGCTTTCTCGCATCTGATGACCATCCTAATTCCTTCAATCGATATCAGCATATACATTCCTAAAATATAAGTTATTTTATTCATACTTATGTTAAGATTAAATTACAAAAAGAGAATATTAGAAGTTGATTACTGAGATCATTTTAGATCAATTTTACACCCTATCTGTTTCGATATGAGTCAATTAACTTTCTAGTGTTTATAGTCCGATCTCATATAAATAGTACCGAAACAGATTTGCTATTATCGTCAATATCCTAAAACAGAAAACTTTTTAGGTGAACTATTTAGTTTCCAAAAAAGTTTTCATTCACTTCTGAGTATAAATTTATTTATAACTTATTCACTTTAAAGCCATAATGTTGGCTTCAAAAATACGTAGCTTGAAATATTTACATAGATATTAATGAATTTATTTGAACTAATAAATTTTAATAGTTGAGATTATGAGTCAATTGAAATTTGACTATCATGAAAAACTTGAAAGCACTGGGTGGCTGTTTCGTCCTATTGTAGGACTCCTCAGTAGTATACATCAAGTGACTCATGATCTCAACTATTAAAATTATTATAATATCCACAAAAACCTCTTCGGATAACAAATTTTAACTATAGATTTTGTTTTACTATGTTATATTCTGTTATAAAACAGTAAAATAAATCATAGTCATAGTGAATTTTTATTTAATTATTAATTTTCATACTAGATACATAGTTTTACTGATTTCTATGACAATGAAAATAATTGGGAAATGAACAAAACAGAAACAAATCAATTTTCGGAATTCAATCATATTACTGAATCTTTTGAAGACAGTATTACTCCTAGTTTCGTTGTAAGTATTTTTTTTGTTTTATAGAAATTATGACTACTAACAACTTATTCATGATACTTGATATATATATATATATATATATATATATATATATATATTTGAAGTAGTAAGTACACAATGCTTCATCCATGTTTAGAACTTGTTGTCTCTTATTAGGATAATGCCATGGTACGGCCGAGAAAGGGTAGAGTTAGCTGTCCCTCTAGAAGTGCTCTCATATGGCCACGTGCCTATAACCACTACCAGGGAAGTCATACTCACTGCTTTCTTGTGGCATCGCTGTTGTTTACAAAATTGAGAGGAGGATAATTGAATTTCCGGCACTTTGACCTTGTTGGTAGATATAGAGGATCTACCTAGCGGAGTTGGAAAACCTTGATTCCAAACCAATGGTGCACATGGGCTCCAGTATTCTGAAGCAACAAATGGCGTATGAACCAATAGTTGGTCACCGGCTACCATAGGACTGCATCTTCCGACATTGCTTTACTGCCTTGTGGATTAGACCTTTAGGTCTAAGGCTCTAAGTGTGGCCCCCCAAAGAAAACCACCTGTTTTTGGTTTGGGCACCCGGGCAGTATCTCAGCCCTTACATAAACCGAGTGATTTATGTCTCGTATATCTGTTTGGTGCCTCGTTGTACCAATATCTATGTGTTTAAATAAATAAATAAATTTGTAAACTTGAATATCTGGTTACTTCTCCGAATGGATTTTAAATTTTATTATTTATTTCTGCAGTATTATCACTGACTAGATTTTTAAAGTTTTGGATGGTCATCTTGAAGGATCTGTTTAGGTTTGACCAAGCTTATTTATACAAACTCAAGATTATTAAGTCCTGAGAAATGATTTAAATTTGTGTAGATCGTTATTACCACTAGTTGTGTTTAGTTTTCTTATATACTTGTATTGGAAAAATATAGGTTAGAATTGCGTTCGTTTAAAAGTATCTAATTGATTAGATTTATCTAAATCCCTTAAGTTTAGATATTTGTAAGATAATCTTATCATTAAAATTTTATTGATTTTAAATGGAACAATTAAGTTTCTTTAAAAATTCAGCCTAATAAATTCATCCAAAATGATGAACAAATTTGTCAACAATAAACTAAGTCCATAATATAAATAGATTGTAGCTAACAGTGAAATTCAAGATGTGCCTTTTGTCCTATTCGGGATTTGTTAACTGAATTCTCTGAACTATAGTAATTATTTTCACATTGGTACTCTAACCCATTAACTTTGATTCTAAAGACTAGTGTGTTCTCCCTGAGTTAATAAATCTAAATAACCGCTGACTTATTTAAGTGATATGATGATATCTCGTCATTTATGACAGTACTCTTAGTCCATTTTCATTTCGATTGTTCATGTGTGGTTTATCATCTTGAAACAAGTCACTGGTGAGCTAACTATAATTTTTTCAGTGAAAGGTTTTTGTGGGGATAGATTTAATCTGTAGGTTGTGTGTTGCAGATTGAGTAGATACCGTTCATGAAATTTCATCTTAATACCAGCTCAACAAAGTGTCGAGCATTAAAAAAAATGAGTACTCTTGCATTTGACATCAAAGAGAGAGAGAAGAGTGAGCAGTTCTTTAAATTCCCGAATGAAAACAAAATAATTAATCCTTGATTCTTAATAGTATTTCAGTTAATAATAGGTGATACTTCAAGTTTCAATGACTCAGTAAACCATATTTTGATTCAAATAATTGTTTTTTGAACAATTCTTGAAATAAATCTTCTTTTTATTTTTTTACTCCACAGACAACATCAGATTGTCCAACATGCCGTCGACTTTTAGGGTGTAGTTCACGAGTTCATAGTCATCAAACTGACGGAAATTCTAAAGTGGATCAAATTGATAACAATGAAAATGATGACCAAGATGAAGATGAATACAATGAATCTGAAACAACAGGAATGACCAATGATTCTGGTAATGATGACGATGATGATGATGGGGAAGATAAGGATGACGATTTCGGGAATTATCTAGGTGAGAAAATTTCTGAGTCAAAGATTAAATCAACATTTAGACATATGCGTAAATTAGAAGAGTCTAAAGATAATGATGATAATGGTGATGTCGACAACAATACTGAGTATAATGAGTGTTTGTCAATATGCGCTTCTAGGCATGGGAAAAAATTAGATTTAAGACATACCCTTAATTTAGAAGATGATGATAGTAGAGGAGAAGAAGATGAAGATCAGTTAAAGGAATCAACGACAGAAAACAAACTTGTTCATAATGAAAATAAAAAACAACTTCCTAATCTAAAAAATATACCTGAAATACATAAAAACAAATTAAAAGCTGATGTTAAAGCTTTGAATCAAAAACTGCAAATAAGTAAAGATCATCTTGTAAAACATAATGAACCAAAAAGTGAAAAGATTACAGAAGTACAAACTACTGATGAACTAGACGATATTGATGAAGACGATAATGATGATAGCAATGATGATGATGATGGTGGAAATAAAGATTATGAAGATGATATTGATGATGATCAAGATGATGAGGATGAAAAGTTTGCAGATAATTACAGCGATGATAATGACAAACATGACACCAATAAAGTACTAAAACCAGGCTGCAAAAAATCTATTCAAGAGGGTCAACCATCAATAAATGAGAATACGAATAAGAAGCTGAGTAATGACGATGTTGAAGACTATGATTACGATGACAGTAATGATGATAATGATAATGATGATGATACTGATGAAGTTGGTGACGATAATGAAAATGATAATCATGATGTAAACAGTCAATCAAATGATGATACATCTAAAGGAAAAGATTTTAAAATCGACCAGCATAAAAATATAAAAACAACAGTTGATCAATTTGAAGATGATGAATATGATGAAACTGATGATTTTGATCCAGATAATGAGATTGAAGAAGAAAGTGAAGATGATCAACCAGAAGATTTAGATTTGGAAATATCACCTGAAGAAGGTTATGAAGATGTTGATGATCCTGATTACAGTGATTGGATAGAGGCTGATGAAGAATTAAATCCTAATTGGCCTGGTAAGCTAAGTCAAAATGTGGAATATGGAATGATAATAGTACTGATGATAGTTGTAGTAGATATATCCTAGTTTCCTTCCAAATTCATCTAACATATATATGCACGTTGATTATCTCTAATCTTCTCATTTTAAACGCTCGCTTACTAACAAGTACTCAAGCAAACAATTAAACATGTACACAATTGTACATAAAATTTTCCAATTATCAGTGTTTTACAAACAAAGGATTGTGAATTCAACATGTAATGAGATGCATGCTGGTGAATTATAACAATTAGATTACCTTATTTATTACAGATGCTTTGAAACGTTGTTCATTTTTTTCAAAACAAGATTTCATCAAATTAGCTAAAAGTATACAGTGAGATTCTGATCGATAGAAACAAGTTTTCATAAAAAAATTTTCTTGCCTGTTTAGAATTCTTTCGCATAGAAATCTCTAAACAGTTCTTTATTTCTACCTTAGTATTGACAATGTTTAACTGAATATAACATTTTACACTGCATAGTTTGATTATTTAATACTGTATTACATTGATATTTAGATGGATATGTAATTTTTAGTCTAGTGAGTGAAAACCAAGAATGTATTTATATTTGCATATATGTATAGGTATATAACTAATTAGGTAATCTAACCAAACACATTCTTATCATAGAAATATATCAAAGGTACTGATCATTTTTCTTCCCTATATATATAATTTTGATTTATTCATGTCATTTGATGTTTACTTACTTACTTACTTACTTACTTACTTACTTACTTACTTACTTACTTACTTACTTACTTACTTACTTACTTACTTACTTACTTACTTACTTACTTACTTACTTACTTACTTACTTACTTACTTACTTACTTACTTACTTACTTACTTACTTACTTACTTACTTACTTACGCCTGTTACTCCTCGTGAAGGAGCATAGGCCGCTCACCAGCATTCTCCATCCAACCCTCTCCTGGGCAATCCTTTCCATTTCCTTCCAGTTGTTATTCCATTTAATGTTTAACAGATAATATAATGCCATTAATTTTAATAATTTAAAGAACCCTCCGCTTGACATATGTTTCCACTCCATGAAATAGCAATATGATAAAGAAATCTATTTAATAATAGATAATTTAATTTTGTATTGAACACTTAGAATAAATTTTAATTGGAAACTTTAAAATTGTATTGAGATGATCTTTATTCAAATTTTGGGCCTTATAATTATGTATTTGTTGTAAAGGAATAATGTTTACCAGAATACTACTTACCAATTGCCTTCAAATAATGTATCCGAAGCTAAATCTAGTGCTTAATGTCAAAGTATTTTATCTATTGATCTTGATCCATTCTTCAACCAATAAAATTCTCCATTTCGTTGTGCGAAAACATGTCTTTCTTCATGTACAAATTACATTTCCCGGTATTCATGATCGTTAAAAAAAAATATTGAATTTATAGGTGTTTATATTCTCTCGTCGATATTAACGATTGAAATTGGCTAGTCACTTTTGACACATATGCATCCAAAGTCGATTATCTCGATATTCCCAGATATTTTCCCAAATATTTTAGTAAGGGTAAGTAGAAGCTATCAGCGAAATCAATGACGGGCGTTTCTTCATTTTTGAGACTCGTCCACTTGTGAATATTAGTATTGAGAGGCATGCATATCTAGATATCACAAACAAAACAATATCCTTGTCCAGAATTCGAAAACTTGTCAATATCCAACTACAATGGTTAAATTAAACGACATACTATCCTTACATTTTATTCATTTGTATGCGTTTGTTTAACTATATTTCCTAAATATCATATTTCTCTGATATATATTCAAATGATTTGGTTATTATATCATTGGTATAATTAAACTGTTTATTACAGTTAAACAAAAGGTTAAACTTTTAATAAACCATGATAGTTTTTGTGCTAATTTTCTGTGTAATTTGAATCCAGGTGTAAGGAAATTAATGGCAGTTAAAACAACAACTCCTACTGCTCCATCTAAATCGAAGTCTCACTCAGAAACGGCTACTGGACATACAAAGAATAAGAAAGTTCCATCAAAAACAGCAACACATATAAAGACCATTTCTAAAACACCATCATCCAAATTATCAGAAAGTTCTAGAACAAAACAACCCAAGGACAAACCTTCTTCTAGTCATCATCAACAAAATCAACCAGACAAGTTAAAATCTTCCACATTAACATCATCAAAGCATGCAGAAGATCATCACTCAAAGAAGGCAGTGCATAAAACTTTTCCGTCACAAGATAAATTAAAAACACCAGTTCCAACAAATAAAAACCCTAAACAATCTACACAAAAATCGAAACCAGTACGAATTATTGGAAATATAAACGATCATGACTGTGATGGTATACCAGATGATATTGATGAAGATATTGATAATGACGGTCTATTGGACCGAACACAAGATTCCGATTGGGATGGATTATTGAATCATGTTGATGAAGACGATGATAATGATGGTATGAAAGTGTTTGCCGTTTTTTATTAAATTCTTAAGCAGTTTTTGTCTTTCTAATCCTGATTTTTATAAACATACCGTTGAGAAATTGATGAATGCGTGATCAAAACATTCAACTTTTAAAGGTTAACTTAACATTTTCTTACCATTCTAAAAATCTCTTGGATTTAAAACATTTTACTGTTTACTTCCTTCACTAAAGGTATCCCTGATATTGAAGATGAAGATGCTAATGGTGATGGAATACCAGACTGCCGTTCTGATGTTTCTGATTTAAAACTAAAAGTAAGATATAAGAAGAAAATGCGTAAAGTTGACAGCGATTTTGACGGTGTTCCAGATGATGTTGACGGAGATGATGATAACGATGGTATTCCAGATATTATGGAAGATGAAGACAAAGATCAAATTCCTGATTTTTTAGGACTTACTCGTGCTGATTGTAAGTGAAAAGTGTTGATTATTTAAAACATTAATATGTGGAATTTTAATAAACAATGAGCTAGTATTCTAATAAAATCTTATTCCACCGTTACATAATCTTGAATTGAACGAATCACTGACACAACCTTTGTCATATTCATTAAACTTGCTATAAAACAATTCTAACCTAGACAACATTAATGTTCATAACAATTTTTAAATACGGGATTCGAAGTTAGTCGATTTTATGCAAATCTGTTTACTAAGGCTACACAGCTTTGACTCACATTTTAATCTGGCGAAGGTTAGTAATGCCTAACCAATTTGACGGAGCAAGGATTAAAATATTTAACCCACTGATTGAAAGTCATGTGCTTTCGGTCATAAAACCATAGCTGAGAAAGTAAATTCAACCATAGATATTGAATACATTCTCATGGGATTAATTCATTAACTGATATGGAGGATTCATGACCAAGTTTATCAAGTTGTATTAAACTGTGGACGAGGAAATTAATGGATTAATTCAGTTCACTATATGAGTAAATAAACTTTCTGTCATCTTTAAACAATTTGAATTTTAATAAATTAACTTGAAAAGACTTCCCAATACAAATCATTGTTGTTTTTAAATTGAACAAAGGTCTACTTAGTCGACTAGTATTGAGATCAGGGAGTGTAGTGTACACTTAAATGAATATACTACGGCATTGTGAATTATATAGTGCTATACTATGCTCGTTACTGTCAATTTAGTAGGCTCCAATTAGTCAGGTGATTCATTTTGTCACATTTAATACGGTACCATGTTCTCAATCTTCAACATTTCGAGTGATAAAATTAAGAGGTTAATGTAAAAATTACTCATTATTATTCAAATGGCGAAAATTATTTAGGTACATGGTAATAAGGATAAATTTTATTAGAAATAACGAAGTTAAATACCGAAATAGTGGTCTACACTATGAAATTAATATATCATTATAATATTCTGGGTCTTTGTAGAGTTCAGCTTCTGGAAGGAATGAGTCTAACATTAAAGTAAATTTGTTTTATGCTTACCACTCACATCTATCCCTTCATTAATGATTTATTTTTTAACACCTTTGTCTTTTACACTCCTTAAACCTATTGTCCAGTAATATTAATAACTCTAAAAATGGCGTAATCAGCCCTTATTGTTTATAAATGATGGATATGAAAGCCAATAATTTGTGCAATGATTTCCTTTTTTAACAATTATGAACTATAGTGATCACGATATAACCAGTTTAGATTTAAGTTCGAATGGGGTTCCAGCCAGAGATAATTCAAGTGAAAAAAGTTGTTCACCTAGACATATTGTGCTTAAAAATAAAGAAAAAGAGGACATTTCTAATATCCCAATATTAGAAAAAATTAAGCTTTCAAATTTCTTGGAGTTTCGTAACTCAGTGTAAGCCACTTCTTTGGAGAGGTGTTCATGTCTCGATGACATTTAATCGAATGATTAATTTTTCAACATTTATAATCTTATGCTCAAAACTTATCGTTATTGTAACAGCAAACTAATCACAGTTGTTTTTATATCAGCCTTTTGATTTTATATATATACTACAAAAATGTAATGCTAATTTACATATAATTCCGTTTTGCAATCGTAATTACGGTTAGAATTTCAAATATCATTATCATTCTAGAATTAATTTTATTCACCTTTTTCAATGAGGATAAATTAACTTGGGTAGTTTATATCTGTTAAACCTGGTCGACTCTTAAACACTATTTAGAGGTTCATATACAAACAAAGTTTGAAAGAATAAGAGGTCAACAATTTAAAAGTATCTAACTAATAAAACTAGACATCAGATTAGTGTTTAGTTGCCCGAAATCTGATTTCAGTTAGATCGTTTGCTGCTTATTATCAAAATATACATGCCGCTAATCCTCGTATATAATCATCGACATAAATCGCGTTAGTGAATAACCGAATTAAGTGAGTTAAATACGAGAATGGATTTTTGAATAAGTACATTTCATACAATCGTTGATCTGAAAGTGAAGCAAAACGAAGTGGCGTGCTGTGAAGGAGAGTGAGCCAATTCGATTTAACCAAGAGTCAACTGATATTTATAGTCAGATAAAAATAAGTTACAGACATTTGAGTTAGGTAAGAAATGAACACACATACGACTATATAAAAAGTCAGGGTTGATAAGAGAATAAGTGATAAGGTCAAAATGTAACTTAAGAAGAATAGATCAATTGGGCGGCCTGTTTGATCATCTGGGCTACCTGTTCCTGCCATCTAGATATTTCAACAACTTATCTATTTTTGTTTGTTTTAATATATCATTATGTTTATTAATTGCGTAACCTATTCTGCTGCGTTTCTGAAAAGTGTACAACCTTTCGTTGTCAAAGTTACAAAAAACTCAATAAGAGACAATGTGGTTGCTGGCAATATACAACGGAAAGAATGCGCATTATTCAGATGTTCATTTACTGAACAGTTAACACCTAACTGGCGATCACTCAATATTTATCGCCAGGACCGACCAAGAAGAAAGAAACGGAAACTTGTTGAAATACTTTACGCTGAGAATTCTATATTGTACCAAAAATATAATATTGAATAAAGCTGATAATAATAATAATAAGAAGTTAGAATAACCTATGTGGGCTTGACATCCTACCATTCCATACAAGTATACTGTAATTATTCAGCCGAGATTTGATCATTATGTAATGTTAGTAGAGGAGCATGTACATTTTTGAAATTGCCTATCAGACTAAATACTAACTAAAAAACACTGGAAAACTGGATCTCTCAAATGATACATTATCTAATGAATCTCGTTGAGATCAAGAACCATATAAGCTGGATGATCCTTAAAAATTTGAAAATACTGGATAGCCGATTTATCTTAATGTTTAGTGGGCATTCATCTGACACCATGTTGAGTGTTCGGCAGGTACCTAATAAAGAAAGTGGGGGATGTCCACTCAAAATCACGAATTGATTGACGTAGGACTTGTACAGTATTGGATCCTTGCCCAGAGGTCCAGAGGTTAAGCATATGTGTGCAAGACTAAAGATCGTGAACTGGATACCTGGTGACAGTGTCTTGATTGCTTACTACTAAGGAGTCGTATAATAGGACGTAACGGACATCTAGTGACTTCTAATCATTGTCTAAGTTGGATCCGTTCTTGATCTCAGTAATATTCAACGGTCTCCATAATCCTCCTAATGTCTAATGAACAGTCCATTAAAACCGCAATTACAATATACTTCTTATCAACTATGATTGGATTTCAAGGTTTCTAATAATTGTAAATTTATGGTACATTTGTGAAGATAAGAAGATATGCATGAAAAAGAAACTATATACTAATAGGTAGCTTTCTGATAATTTCCCAAAACATATAAACATATCATTAATATATGGATTTACAATAAGATTTATTAAAATAAATTCAGCCAATTTTTAAACATCCAAGTCATTGTCATTCATTTGTAAGGGTAGTTTGACCCTTCCTGATGTTAATTTTTAAACTACCGTTACAAATGAATTACAATTCATCTCCCTTACACGATTCAGTAGCTCTTAGTAACTATGCGAATTACACGTTAGGTGTATGAGGTATACAACTCTGGGTTTCAGTCACTTTGTAAACATAAACACTGGTGAACAAGTACATCTAGTTGACAAGTTCCAGATAAAATTGGACGCATATCTTGAATCCTACTTCTAGTCACTATCATACGTTACTGAAAAATTTAACTATTTATAATGGCTAGTCGTGTAGATAATTAGGTTTTTGGTTTTAACCTTACTGTTAGTTTTACAGTTCTTGGTTATCCTTTTTTTCATATACGGTTTACATAAATGATGATCGATAAAGTTATATTTCATATGGGATAAGAGGAAAATAAACTTTAGTTCATATGCATAAATATCATTCTTTTGCACTTATGGTGTAGTATAATGTTGATGCAATAACACACAACTACACTTGAATACACATACCCATATATATATATATATATATATATATATATATATATATATATATATATATATATATATATATATATATATATATATATATATATATATATGTTATACAATTCATACCCTAGTTTAGTACTGAAAGTAGAACACATCCTACTTTTTTTATTGATATAATAGATGAATAGAAGTTGCAAATACATGTAAGCACTTAGCATATTTCACTAAATGACCTTGAATTAACATTTACTCATGATTGGCTGAAATCAAAAAGTGGGAAAAATAGTGACAGCTAAAACACCATGATTGTGGTTTATTTTTATCTTGTCAATTGTTATATGTACATTTTAGAGAAAAAAATCGACAGTCAATTTTAAACAGAATATTTCCTCAAATAAAAGACCGATTGGTCCTGGGTTCGAATCTCGCAGGGGGCGATGTCGCGGATGCGCACTGCTGAGGAGTCCCACAGTAGGACGAAACGGCCGTCCAGGGCTTCCAGGTTTTCCATGGTGGTCTAGCTTCAAATGACTCATGATCTTAACCATTGAAATCACTATAATATCCACAAAACGCATCTGATGTTTAAAAAAATGTGTAATAATGAATCAAACGCTAAGGTGAAATTTTGATATTGGCAAAAAAACTGTACTCTCAGTTATCTAATAATTTCTGACTTAAAAATAGTATTAGAAATCAACAAAATAGATAACTGATATCAATGTACTAAACAGTTTTTTGGTTGATCAATGTAACTTTTGGTGATTTGGAAGAAAAAAGATGATAAGCGTTAAACATACATAACCCAATGTTCACCTTCATGATTTTGGACAATCTAATAATATCAATAATTGTTTCAGTTAATCTGCTGCAGCAAACCATGAAAATCATACTATATTTGGCTAATGAATAAGCCACTGTCAGGTAGATGAAACATTAGAAGATTGTGAGATAGTGACTCACTGATAACAATAGTGGATGCGCCGTTCAATTTTGTGGATTAGTTGAAGTTAGACATTAACAACGTTGAATGCCGGCCAGCTCAGTGATCTAGTGGTTAGGTGCTCGCGCGCGAGACTGGTAGGTCCTGGGTTCGAATCCCGCGGGGCGCGTTCATGGCTGTGCAATGCTGAGGGGTCCACAATTGGCCGAAACGGCCGTCCAGTACTTCCAGGTTCTTCATGGTGGTCTAACTTCAATTGACTCATAATCTCAATTATTGGAATGTTAAGTTTAACTATTACGATGAACTTTGGCGGCCAATAAATGACCTTGAGAAAGATTTTCACTACTTCCAGCCAACCAAATAACAGTTGATTTAAATGTGTAATTTATAATGCAAGATCTGGTAAATATCACAGTATACATTATTTTTTCATAGGTTATAAATATTTATAAGCTCCCCATTAGTTCTTTTGTCATAAATATGATAAAGAAAATCAACCATATAACTTCAAAATATCTTCACTAAGGAGCTTTTTTGTGTCGTAAATAGTTTTCTAAAAAGATTCAACCTTTGAGGCATATACTGTGGGAAGAATCTAACTACCATTTATTAAACAACTATACTGTAGATTATTTCTGCACATCTCTCAAAGAAATTGTAGTTTTTGCTACTCAATCTACAACAAGAGACGTTGAATGACAAAAAATGTAATCGATTCTGACCTGTTTTTTATTTGGTAGTAGATATTACAATCAAATATCACATTATCTTGTACTTCCCAGCATTTAATTGAAAGCTTTCTTGTTAAGTGTTTATTTAACAGAGTTGTTATCGTTCATTACTTTTGATTTACTTGTTATCTTCCAAACATATTGGAACATTAAAATAAAAAAATTTGAATTCACGTCTAGTACTTTTTTAATTTCAGCGCAACTTTTGAAAATTTAGATAAAATGTTTTTGTGATGATTGGATTATTTGTAGGTTGTATTCTTCACAGATTTATCTCAGCTAAGGTACTATTTTAAACCAGGAAGTAGTGGATAGCTCCTTCACCCTAATAAAGGACTTCCGAGAAGTGGGCACCGAAGACCCTATCAGAGAGTGAACTCAAAACCTTGAGCTCTCGTGAGGAGCGCTTAACCATTAGAACTACTGACTCAGAATCTAATGCTATAATTATAACTTGAATTAATTTGCGATATGCTCTAACGATTAATCAGTGTCATTAGGGACAATTGCTGCGCTTCTGACATGTCTGAAATCTGAATTCTAGCGAGAAATCATAATTTAAACTCTATTTTTGCGTTTTAAATATGAATTCGTCATTTAATGTTATTACATATATTGTAAATTACCTCTCAAAGATGATGTCCTTCTTTTAATTTCTACGACTTCAAACATTATTTTCAGTTTTAAAGGGTGTCAGTACTAAAGAATTAAACAGACGAATGAATAAACGTGGTTGGTTTGATCATGACTGTGATGGTATTCCAGATAATCTCGACCCAGATGACGATAACGATGGGTATTTCGATTCAAAACAAGTAGGTTTAAATGGTTTACTTGCTTTTTGTATGCTTCTGTTATAACAGAGGAAAATTATGTATTAGTCTATATGTATTCTAGACCTTCTGAATTTATGTAAATACAGCTGTTGAGTGGTGTTTTATCACAGAGATAGATTTATTGGCTTGTAGTCCTCAGAGAACAGATATCAAAAGTTACGACAACTAGTCAATAAAAATAGTCATTTTAAAAATAAGATGACCTTTATGTACCAAGAATATTTAACGCATAAATGAACATGAATAAATATCATTTAGTTCCACTGTGAACATAAACACTACGATCCAGCTGATGAACCTACTAAGCTAAACCCATATTTTCTCGATAATCAGGCTTTGGTAATAAGCTCAGTAATTAAAAATTCATGTCAACTGAAACATATTCATTAGAATGACATAGGAACATTAAAACTTTCAGTGTAGTAGATAGTTCTTTTGTCCATGTTTGAAAATATTTCAACTCTATGACGTAAATCTAAGAAAGTATTCATAAAATTGGTTATCATCAGATCTAACAGTATACTGATCATCCTGAAAAAAAGTAACATTTCATATTCACTTAGAATTGCTAAATGAAATTAGTATTCATTCTTCATATATAACTTACGGTCATTATAAATAAATTATTATATTTTTAACATACCAATGAATAGAAAAATAAGATTTTCGGATGTTTCATAACTCAATGTCAGCCACTACTTCAGAGAATAAACATTGATTATTTATTCTCTGAAGAAATGGCTTAATTGTTAGATCCCTGTCAAGATGTTAAATAAACACAACTAAAGTGTTCTACATTTTCAGATTAAAGGTCTGTTCAATATTAATTGACTTGCAATGGTATTCCAAATGAGGCCGATCTGTAATGAAAATCATCGAGCAGTTAGACCAAACACAACAAAATAACCCAACTATAAGAACTAATACAGATAATTTCTTATCACTTTTTTCTATGACTACATCATTTATAATTGTTTAACACTATTTTCTGGTTGCTTAGCTAATCTCTACCTTTCATATCAGAAAAAATGTATGCTTGAATTGAGGAAATTTCCTTTCAAACCTAGAAATCATATAAGTAAAACAGAAATTTACTGATCACGATCTTCACTATGCGTTCAGATTATGTTGATCACTTAAAATGAAGGTGTATAATGCTAATAGAAACCGCCAATAATTTAAAAGGAACATTTAAAAAATACCTTAAGCAAGAGAACATGATAGTTCGCTTTGTGGCGTGTGCTACTGATGTCAATAGATATAAGTAGTACGTAGCATCAATCGAAAGTGAAATGCATGGTGGCAGAAGGTTAAGAAAACTGAAGAGAACGAGAACAGAAAGTGATTGGTGTGGAAACGAAGGAATAATCAAGTCAGATACAATTGATTGACATTTTTCAAATGAAGTATTACCTGTATGGCTCTCAGATTTTACTAAGAGATTCTATAATTGTGTTCACATACATTCGATTGTCCCCACTTGTGTTCTCGTTCACTACACTTTTATTGTACTGGATTCTCATAAACTACTGGTTAAAATTTGTAATATTTTAAAAAACCAACATTCCACATAAAATTAGGTATATTTATAGAACTCCAATTAGTTAGTAAGTGATGTGAACACACAGAATAATGTAGTGAATATATAGAATGAAGTCATAAAGTGATCTTAGTTAGACCACCAGCAGCTAAGGAATCTTATACTCGGATGAAGTAGGTGCCTTGTATTTCCAGGCTTTCAATGGTGGTCTAGTTAAGATCGATTGGTGATTTCAACTGTGACTATTGTAATATGTATGTTTCATGTGTAATTTTTCATACCATTACATCCACTTATTCAAATAAATAAATATCGAAACAATGTGAGAATGGAAACGACCATCTTTTTCATGTGATACTTACTGATAGTTATCAATGTGATACCAATATATATCTTTAACAAAAACATTACAATCAATATCTTAGCCAATTAACTAAATAATTTAAACAATGAAAGTACAAAATAAAAGGAACTAGATCTATTCGAATCTATTATCATTAATCTTATGGTTACTCCTATTACAATCATACTATCAAGATGTAGATCTTTTTTGTTCAAACAGTTTTTTCTTCCTGAAGAACAGAAAACTTAATTTTTATTTTATGTGAATTAGTTAATCTTTCATCACATAGTTGATTAGTTAGTTAACTAGGAAGAGAGAGAACTAAATGGATAGATAATTCGCTATTTATCTATTGATATACACAATCCTTCCCTATTTTTTTCCTGATTAGCAACTATAAATTTTTTAGTATAATCATTTGGGCACAATATGAATACATTATTGTATGTACACGTTCTTCCTGTTGAACCAGAGACAAATTATCACACACGACACTCATACACACATACATACACAAACTTATATTTCTGATAACTAGAATACCTTTATTATCATGGAATAGAATACCTGGTATTATGTGTGTCGATTTGCAAACAGTTACGTTTTCGTTCAATGTGTTTATGTTCAATTCTGCTAAAGTGAAATTGTTTAAATCGGTAAAGTTCATCTGTCCATTACTTTTCCTGTCTTTAATCTGTTAGGACAAACAAACAAAACATTTGAAATGAAAACTGATCATTTGATATATATAAGAGAAGTCTGATTAAATCCTTGTAATAGTTCATACTTCATACTTCAAAGACTAGTACTTTACCACTATGCAAAAATGTGTTTATCATGAAAACTCTGATTAGATTGGTAAATGATACAGATTTGTTTAGTGCTCCACTTGATTAATACAGAATACGATATACAACTAACGGCACTCGAAAGTATAGAACCCTACAATAGTAAATCAAAAGAAGTGATTGTTGGTTAGTAATCAAAAATGTACGGAAAACATATGTATTTATAGTTATTAGCGTTAGTTAAATCAACACCAGCCAAACCGCAAAGAGGCAAGTTATGCCATCATCCTATCATACGTTGATATCCTAGAAAGTTCCATCAGTTCCTGACTGGGTAGAAACTCTACGGCACCTTTAGGACCCCTATAGCTCGTCTTGCTTCTCGAAGGCCGCCCCAACAAGATTTATATCTTGAAAAAAGTAACAGTGTTCTCGCACAGAAGTTAGACGAAAAACCATTATGAATTTTCCAGAAATTTCATTAACTCTTAACTGTTAACAAGACTGCTGTTCATATGACATGACTTGTTTTGTAAACTACAGAATATTATCAACTCTAATTTTCTTGGTCTCATGCATTCTTCAAGTAAATGAAATAAGCAAGAACTTTTATTAAAACTACACCTCTTCAAATTACCAATCTTATTAAGAGTAGTGAAATATATAGAATGTAATTTTTAGCACATTTGTCAGCAACTGAAGTACCCTATGTAAGAATCAGAGGTGATTAGTGTACACGGTTCAAAACAGAATAAAATCAACATTGTGTGAAGCCTAGTAAGATTACATAGAATTTCCTACGTCCAGAACTCAAGTTGAAACTGAATCGAGTTGATCGAGTCTTGCAAATTAACAAAGAAATATAAGATTAATATAAATTTGATATGAAAAGAGAAGCTGTTCACAGTATCAGAATGTATAATATATAAATAGTAAAACACAAAACTTTTTATCCAATATATGGTGATAGATTTTGAACTCATATTGCATAGGACCTTTACTAACAACTAGTTTATTTTGAATCGTCCGCTAAAGGCACGGAGTATCCGAATACACCGTAGACCAATACTCACTCGTTTTATGAACTGATAACATGCCTCCTTAAGAGCTCTTCCAGGTTTATTTCGACACACTTCCTGCCCAACAAAGTATATTAGGATATAAGGTCACTGGAACATGTGCAACGCATGTTACAGTGATTTCAGTCATTGAGATTTCACAGTCTCATCAACCGGCATAGGATTTCTGCCTACCCCTAACTTTGATGGTACTCACTGAGTGGTTCCATCACCATGATTGAATACTAACAACCTACATTTAGAAAGTGAGTTTCATAGTATACTTGTTTTTTGACAGAAAAATAAATATCTCGAAAGCAATATAGACGATACAGGCTGATTAAAACCAGACTATATTCTTGTGTCTATTCAAACATATAAATATGAAAAATCTAGTTAGAAATACATTTTTTTCGCTCATCAAAAATCAATAACAAAAAACAGTGGCAACAACAGTGTATTAAACCTCTTACTTCAAACATTGTTCTCTCTCCTATACACACACTATGATTTACAAACTAAAATGATGTCCAAACTGTACACAGCTGACATAATTCTCTTAATATTTCCCTCCTTTTTCTAACCTTTCTAATATTTCCTTATTTGGTTTTAATCCTGAACAAATCATATAGTAATTGTAAATGTGCCGGACACTGATCTTTATAAAGAATTGTTTCGTACATCAATTCTGTTTTCCCTCATGTTAATGACATAAACCAATATTGACCTTAGAAATTATGTCATGTAATACCATCAGTAGTGACAACAAGAATGTCATTCAGCATACTAATGTGAATGGTGTGTTCTGCTTTTATTGATTACTTTGTTTTCGCCATTTATATCGATAAATTGAATAACATTCAGTTAGTCATAAGCAACGTAGAACATGGTGAATTTATGTATCGATATAAATATTAATAGTAACGGTGTTAGTTGTAGTAGAAAAGATTAAGCATAGAAGATGTTATTTGAAAAGAAAATATGGCTTCTAGGAATAATAAAAGTTCTGGATAGTTAAAAAAAATCTAAGAGGTTATAAAGCGCATATGCGCGTGCGCAGTTGTGAATGATTCTGAATTATGTTACCCAAAATCTTCAACCACCGTTTACTGTAATTTGGTAGACCTAATCAGATGATTCGAAACTATCTACACGAATCAGTCCAACTGACGATGATGCCAGTGCCTGATGCCATATTTTGGTTTGGCTGCTTCTATCTTTCTTTCAACCTGCTTCTACACTAGCCATCAATTTCCATCGTGGTGGGCTGTGGTCGGGCACACAAAATACATGTACCGACATCATCAGTCTGATTCCCATCTAACCTCGGCATTGCTATAGTATGATGGTATCTATGATTAAACGATAACAATCTAGTATTCTCCTGCATTTTTAATGGCTATGTATCACAGATATGGTAAAGTGCTAGAAAATACTTTTATTACCGAAAAATTCAAAATTGGTTAAATGCCTTGTTTGAAGATAACCATTCGTGAATAATATTGCAATATCTAGCATTTTCCCGCCCATTTAGTTGATCGCTACTGCATATAAGGACCTAATCTTCATGGAGGATTTCACCTTAATCATCTAAAGTCATCTATCGATACCTTCTATGAAAAGGAAGTTGTAATACATGCTGAATCCTTAGATGTAAAAGCAAATAGCGTGATAGTTACGACCTGAAACGAAATCACCAATGAAAACTATCCTTTAATATGAAGCATGCACTCATTAAATGAAAGGATAAACAATCAATTCATTATTTTCGGGAAATGTCTATCAGTAATGTATCAGAAATACTTCAATCCAAAGTGTTAAATCACTCTAAACGTCCTATTCGAGTTACTTCAATTCGAGATATTCATCAGTGCAGAATGTATTCAAGTAATTATCGTCGTTAGGAGGACGAAGTGGTGATCCTCAAAGAAGCAGCTTTGGTTGTTATACAAACAATATATCTCATTGTAAATCATATAGCATAATTTTTAAGTGTATTTATAATGTTACTAGGTAACTGGCATAAAATAAGATATTTCAGTTATTCACAATTAATTAATTCAACTATGTGTTTAGTGGATTCACTTGCAATAGTCAAAAGTTGTTGAAAACTGGTTAATATGATTTTTCATAAATGAATCAATCAATCAGTGTTTAAGCATAAAATATATGATGATTCATCTGTGTTGTATATGACCTTATGTGTAATATACTTTTATTTTCAGGATAGTGATCGTGATGGTATCCTGAATGAATTCGATGATGACGATGATAATGATGGAATACCAGACAGTGAAGATCCTGATGCTAATGGAGACGGTATACCTGATTGTATTGTTAAGGTAAGAATGAATATGTAAACAATTCTACGTTATTTATAAGTGTTCATTACTGTATCTGAAAATGATATCTGCTTTTAGAAGTGAACCTTAGCCCTTACATAACCTTCCTTATTACTTCATGTTTTGGTATACAAAGAGAGAGAAGTTTAATAAACAACCAATTATTCCTTCCGTAATTTTTCTAAAATCAAACTGAAATCATTTACTGTAAAAGGTTTCATTTTATGGTAGTTTTTCCAATTGTATAAAAATTTTTAAACTAATAAATTATATCAGAAGGGGTTTTGTGGAGATTGTAGAAATTTCAGTAGTTGAGATCATGAGTCGGTAAAGTTAGACCACTATGGAAAATCAGCTCAGTGGTCTAGAGGTTAAACATTCGTGCGCGAAACCGAAGGTTCTAGATCCGAGCTCCGCGAGCGAGATCACGGATGAGCAATACTGAGGATTCCCATACTTGGAGTTATTTTAATTGTTTTAGATGTATTCAAGCGAACAGATGATTAATAAAACGATAAGTTTAATAATTTTAAAACCTTTGGGTATGGATATACCTGTTATCGCCATTGGATAGTAACTGCTAGGAATTATTTATGGACTGTTATTACATATATTCTTATTCATGTTATCATAAGCTTACTTTTTACCTACTGGCTACTATTATACGATTTACCATTATTAACTTATTCCCAATCGATTAGTTGCAGTCTCTTATACCGACAGCCGCCTTTGGCTTGATCTTGTATAATTGTTATTTCCTATTTTATGGTGTGATGAGGTTTGATTTACTTGTATATAGACCATGTATGTCTGAAATACATGATTAGCACGGTGGAAGCCGAGATTGTTTTTTGGACTCAACGGGCAGGGCTAGGCGAGAAGGACTAATAGCGATTCAAAATTGACTACTCTAGGTTGCTCGTGCTGGTTAACGCATCATCAGTTTAGCACAAGAACAATGTCATATAAGTTGGTATTAGGATTGGCGATTTTCCCACATGATAATTAATAATGCAAAAGTCATAACACACAGAATACTTATTCTAGAAAGTTGCTACATATCTTTAGGCTGTCAAATTTAATTATACACATTTCATTATCCGTCTTGTCAAAATTGCCCAGATAAAAATACAAATGAAATTGATATTATGTTCATTCGACCTAATACACTAAATAATATCATTGTGAAAAATACAACCAACCTGTTGTAGATATTACTGTCATGAAGATAATTGTAATTTAAACTGTTCTATAGAATACTATGATAAAGTTTCTATTTGCCTTTTTATTCAGATTCTTTAGTAAATTCTTACGATTGGACTAGTTAATCAGATGTAATATAGATCAGCAAAATTCTATCATTCACTTAAGTAAATAGCGTTCTGGCATTTGAGCCTATGTCAATTTGTGATAAGAATTCTAACCCTAACTTTTAAAATTAATTTCTCGCACTAATTCAGATCTTTATTATTAATCTGGTAAATTGTTGAAGTTTATCAAGATCACTTTAGTTTTGCTCAACGGTCGTCTATAATTTATGTCTCACTGAAATTACTATTCTCCAATCAGATGAACTACCTCAATAATGCATATCTTTGATTTCACTGTCAGCTTTTGTAATGAGTAACGTGTGATCAACCTACTGAACCACGATAACTTAGATGATATTTTGTAACCTCAGTCAGCTAGCTAGATAATACTGTCGTTCTTTAGTTTTAAACCATAAACTGTGTTACAACTAGTGGGATAACCTCTTTGCTCTATACGATATAGAGCGGGTTTCGAACTCTGTAGCTAAAAGCCAAGCACTTGAACAAATTACTTTACTATTCCACACATCACACTCCAATATCGATAGTTCCATTAAAACATGACAATGGCTAATTTAACTGAAATATTATTGACTTGTACATAAATGTTGGAATAGGTGTAGTACACAAACCATCATTTCAATCAATTCTATGCAAACGAAGAGATGTAATGACAAAAGAAGGAAAACCGAACATCATCTATAAAATCAATTGTTTCAACAGCAGAAAAACACTACATCGGAAAAAGTGGATGACTCGATTTTCGCCTACAGGAACACCAATTAGCTGTCAAACACTATGACACATATCTTCGCTTATATCAATGCATATGGACAATTGTGGACACATAGTCGACTGGGAAAATGTTGAGATCTTGGATAAAGGCAATCCTAAAAACGCCAGAAAATTTTTAGAAGTTTGGCAATTAGCAATCAACAAATACATTGAAATCGATCCAATATATCAACCAATCAGAAAAAAATTCTGGACAAATATGGGATTAAAAATCAAATCAATAATGAAATACAATCAAAATAAAAAAGTAATCAGTGATAGGTTAAAGGTCATTAATAACTAATGTAGAGATCAATACCAACAGGACAAGCTGTGAGCTATGTGTGAGGAAATTGGAACACTTCACTTCTACTTGAAGTTTTTGCTGATGATGTTGTTCAGAATAACAATGAAAGCTCCACAACTAAACCATCTATTTCAGAGAATAAAACTCCATCAAAATCATACCAAACCTGAGCTACAAATCTTCTCTACCATCATATAAATGTCTTAATCTATAGTGAGTGATATCTGCTAACAAATGAGTCATCTACAAACTATAGATACATATTTATTTCTATACAAATAGACATACAGCTGACATGTTGATTCATTACACTGTTTTTTGAACAATCGATCTTCTATTGAATGTGTCTTACAATTTCAAAAGTTGAAAATGAGTTGCATTGTCAATTTAAGAATAAAACAAACAAACAAACAATCAATCAGTAATTAGGTTTATTTTATATTGAAAATAGAACAGTATACAAAAAGAAAATAAATAAATAAAGTTTGTAGTGTTATGACACTTCAACTGGAATTGTTTATTAAACGTTTTTCAATAGTTGAATTCATGAGTCACTTAAAGCTAGACTACCATGGAGAATCTAGAAGTATTGGAAGATTGTTTCATCCCAATATGAAACTACTCAACAGTGTCCATCCATGATTCCGCCCACGTAGTTCGAACCCAGAACCCCCGATCTCGCACGCGAGCGCCTAACCTCTAGACCACTGAGCCGATATTTGACGGTGTTAATGTCTAACTTTAATCAATCCACGAAATTGCGCCAACATGGTGGCAGGTGGTTAATTGACTCATGAATTCAACTACTGAACCATTGTAATCTCTACAGAACCCCTTTTTGATCAACCTTTTTCACAAATTAATGTAAAAGGTTAATGCAAATATAATTAGTCATTCAGTAAATTATCAGAAGGGGTTTGGGGAGATTTTATAAATTTCACAGATTGAAATCATGAGTCAATTGAAGTTAGACCACCATGGAAAACCTGGAACCACAAACCCCTTCTGATAATAATCATCTGCTCACCAGTGACTGACTTCAAGAGATACTCCTGGAGTTCTAGTGAGAAGCCGTTACCAGTGGAGTTCAACCAGGTCTGTTATGAGATATCAGCTCACTGAAGACAATGGTATACGGTAGCGCAACTTCATGGATTGGTTGAAGTTAGACATTAACATCGTTGGATGCCATATCAGTGGTCTAGTGGTTAAGTGCTCGCGCGCGAAACCAGTATGCCCTGGGTTCGAATCTCGCGGAGGGCAGCGTCGTGGATGCGCACTGCTGAGGAGTCCCATACTGGGACGAAACGGCCGTCAAGTGCTTCCAGGTTTTCCATGGTGGTCTAGCTTCAATTGACTCCTGATTTCATTCAGTAAATATTTACTTCTTAACTAGGATCTCTTCACTGTAGAAATTGAGTGTTTTTACAATTTTTAACTAAAGTTTAATATAATGGAAAGTAAGAAATACTACTTTAAGATTATTAAATATTAATGTGTAAAATAGTGAATTAGTTGTTCAAGGCATTGGTTATTAACTAGCAGTTTTCGAAACCTGGTTAATTTCCCTCTTAGGCAACGATACAAAACTACTAGTCCTTGTACATAAATATATAACTCAAGTCAGGTACATAAAACTATATACTTTTGTTTATTAAATCGCACTGTACTCCTATGTTTGAACTGATAATGTGAAGTGGAATGTTATAAATCTACTCATTTATTTGGTTATATATATAGATTATTATCAGTACTATTGATCATTAATTTTTATACCGAAATTTCGGTTAATATTTGGAGCTCATTTAATTTTGCTGTCAACGGTATAGTTACTTGATACATGTGAAATAATCATAATGGTAGCCTCTTTTAACAGAAGTTGTATGCAAATTCCTATCATCTTCATTAGCTCATAGCTAGTTTAGAATGTTCACTTTAAACAACACAGGAAACTAATTAAGCTAAAACCAATTGGGAACAAATACGTTTACAATGCTATCGATATCGTGAACCGGTCCAAGTCAGATACCCATTGACTTTCAGGAGGATCTGGATACTTAATTCATCTTAGTGCAAGACTCCTCAACATTACTCATCCAGAAATCGGGATATTCAGTCTTGCGTGCGAATGCTCAATTTATAGACAATTGGACGTCTTACGTAGATCAGTTTGTGATAGGAATAACATTCAATTGCCAACAAACCTTTAAACATCTACGATATCTTTAGAAACTTAGAACATTAAAATGTTCGGAAATTAGATATGGAAAAATCTATCTAACTGTGGTATAAATGAAAAATATTTGGTGTGGTGAATTTCGGAAGACGAAAACACAAGTTCAAACTCGTAAATAATAATTAGCGAAATAGTAAATAAGTGTTCGGAATCAATTATCCTTAACATCCAGTATGCTGTAATCCAGTGTACGTATTGATATCAAAATGTTATATAGATATATATTTATTATTTCCCTTCTTACCTATTTGCTTTGAAGTCAGTTAAGTCATCCTATAACTAGTTTTCCGAAGAGATGTTGACTATCAATGGTATATTAAGCACAATGACTTATCGAATTGAACTAAACCTAATGATTTTTGATGGTTGAAGGTAGTCAACAAAAGCCCTATGTTTAGATTTTATAAAGTGTACCTGTAATCTTTAAAGAACTCGAGCTTCCTGACGGATTCAAACCTAGCTTGCCTTGGTTCACATTCAGAGAAATTATCATTCAGTCCTCAAACTAACTTCCTGCAAGATCAATTTGTTTAAATTTATTGATGTTATGTTTAAAGCGATTACGAGTTCACCTAATCTGAAAACGGAACAATGACTATGTGACCAAAAACCAATAAACTAGCTATTCTGACGCGTCCCAGCCCCGCTGACTAGAGAGAGAAGTCCAAGTTTAAAATGAAGAAATATATTCCGCAAGCAGTCAGAAGTACAAACAGTAACAGCAGACACAAATCAAACGTATATATGCAGCATGAAATTATCCTTGGGAATAGCATACTAAAAGATACAACGAACCAATAGCGTTTAAGATCCTCCCAAGTAGGAAATACGATACGAAGGTGAAAATGAGCGCTTTTGGCACGAAAACAAGAAATTCAAATTTGCAAAATAAAATTACAAAAACAAAGTATTTACTAAGTGAAGTCTGGGTATCTAACATCCCCAACAATTGATCACTTTGTAGTGACCATAGAAAATCAACCATATGGTTAAAATATTCATTAATGAGAAAATAATCAGTTTGTTAGTTTCAAATTGTTTTTATTCGTCGATCTACATTCTTTCTGTGTTTTTCTTTCTTCTTCTTCTTCTTCTTCTTCTTTCTTCTTCTTCTACTACTACTACTACTACTACTACTACTACTACTACTACTACTACTACTACTACCACTACTACTACTACAACTACTACTACTACTACTACTACTACTACTACTACTTACTACTACGTGTACTTATCATTTTTTTAACTTGTCTCATGTCACGATTTTTTTATTACTTTATGACAGGTACATTTTTATCTTATCCACTTAAATGACTTGTCAGATTTTTAATTAAATTAGTACTAAATTTTCTTTATTGGTAAACATGTGCTGACATTGTTGTCTAGCTGGATTATAACCATGTTAACTCATTGAAAATGAGTGATTAGTACAAGTTTAAATATTTTACAAATTATTTACAATGTCGTCTTCATTTTCTTTACTTTTACATTCATTTTAAACAGGATTCAGATGGTGATCATATTCCTGACCATATTGACACAGATGATGATAATGATGGTATACCGGATTTACAAGATCCAGATCATCCCAATTTCGATTATTTACGTGATTCGGATAAGGTAAGTTATTTACAATAATAATAGCTATATTACTATTTGAGTTGATAATATAACATTCGATAAATAGTACGTTACTTAACGGGCAGCGGATGGTAACTAAGCCGCGTTGTATCAAGTAACTTTAGGGAGCGATGCTTCAATAACTAAGATATGTTTCAGTTCAACAAAAAGTGTGAATAAGGTACATGAGAGCTTGGTTTGTACAAGTTGATATTTAAAAATTCTGAACGTTAACAAAATAATTTGATAAAATATGTGCATATGCAGTCGGCGGACAATCAGGAAAAGCATAGGAAATTTGATCTCACCGGTCATAATTAAATATCGATGCGAAACCAAAACCTTCTGAGATATAAGGCTAGAATCACATGAATTTCTGATTCACTGTTGGTATGCTTTTAGTTAATCCCAGATTTACATCATTTATGAGAATTTACTAACTAAATAAGAGTAACTTTTTGTTTGATACAAAAATTTCCAATTGTTTTATACAGATTGACTGGACGGTAGCAGCTTATTAGTTCAGATAAAGTTATCCAAATCATCTTATTCAGTACACTAAATGAGAAATAACACAACTACTCACAGCAGGTCATGATTACACACCGATGAATAAAAACATGCATGGGATCTATTGACTTCGGTTAAAACAAACTTAACAACTGAGTTTTCGTTTGTAAGTATTTGTATTCACCTATTATCGATAGTCAAAACTGAACTAGATCAGCTTCTGATGAGTCGTAGGCTCTTTGAGCGAATGTTTTAAATTTGGCTATAGCCGCTAGTTAATTACAATGTCGAATAGTAGCTAATAGTGGAATCTGGAATGCGTTTTTTTATTATTTCGAACCAGGCTGAAGAATGCACCTGGTTCCTAGTGCTGATATTCACACTGACACTGAAAAATACTACCCACTGCATTAAAAGCCTTGTGCATTATCCATTGGCTCTTTCGATCACCACGGTAATATTGTACATGATTTTTATTATAGTTTCGTTAATATTTAAAGGTCTATGGTGTTGTTGAGCACTGTAACTGATCAGTTTACTTTGAAATATGTTTATCCAGAGCATTCAACTTTATTCTGTAACTTTTAATTTAAGATTAATATAAATTTTTTAAAGTAATTTTCCTAAAAAATTCACTTTTTTGTATTTTAAGTATGGGGCTTTGTGGAGATTGTAGTATTCTCAAAGTTAAATTCACAAGCCGATCTAAGCTAGACCACTACTGGAAATCTGTAAGCTCTGGACGGAAACTTCGTCCTAGTATGGAACTCCTCAGCAGTGCGCATCTACGATCCCGCATGCATAACTCGAAAACAGGACGTTCGGTTTCGGGCATGAACTCTTCACATCTAGACCTCTGAGCCGGCATCCGACGGTGTTAATGTTTAACTTCAATAGATCTTGCACACCTCTTCATCTATTGCCTGAAGCGGATGACTCTCTCATATCTGACGCAGACTGAATTCGAATGGATGAGCACTACTGAGGAGTACCATACTAGGACTAAAAAGGTCATCCAATGTTTCTAGGTTTTTAATGGTGGTCTAGCTTAGATAGACTCATCAATTAAACTTTGAAAATATTCATTTATCTAAACATAATTGTTTTCCATTGTCCCCATCTTAACTGAAATTATTGTAGACCAATGAAAAAACTCCACGTTCACTTACATGTTTTGTATCAATTGGTCAGTACAATGTTATAATGACATTACAATTTAACAATGAAAATTTATACTCCCCACTAAGTTTGTTGAAATGAAACATAAGAAAACAATAATAAAATTATTTTCACCTTGTTTACACCCATAATAACATAATTCTATTCAATAAGCCTTCAACTGGTATATTCCGTATAAAATATTTTCTGAAACTCCATATATAGTCTCTTTGTTTATTTTCTTTATTTTTCTTACATTGATTAGCAATGTTCTCAAATGTGATGATTGTTTTAGTTTTCAATAATAATCGTCATCTCAAAGCGCACCAGGTTTCTTAAATAATTTTAACTTATGAATATGACAGAAGTATAAAATTAAGTTCTATACCGATCCTCATAGATTATTACCAAACCCATATGACTAGAGGTAATAATCTAAAGACCTATCAATGAGAAAATATTTATACATCACAAAAAATATTACTAGAAAGGTTAGTGTTATGAATTTGTTCGGTAATCCACCATCTTGAAAGACATCTTTAATGTTGAGGTACTACTTGTTAGATGAAATGCACAAGTCTGGAAGTTCAGATACATTGGAAACAGTACTGATGAAACGTACAGTAATACTATAGTGATAATGTTAAACCGGACGGTTTTATTGTTAAAAGTGAAGTTCCTCTTTAAAATATACAATGCAGTAGCAAACAATTAATAAAATTACTAACAATTTAATAGTTTCTTTTCGTAGCTAAGAATGGAGCTTCAGAAAGTTATTTAAAATTCACTAGATTTCTTAAAAGCAGTATGTTAGTAATAGGATGACAAATACATTGTCTATATTACTGGTTACATACAATGTCATACAGTTATGCATCAAAATTGGTATGATTTTAATGACTGAAGAACTTTATACAGAATAAATAGAATGTGGCTAGCGGTATAATACAAATTACGTGTTGCTGTCTATTTAGAACACTTTAGCAAGTTCTTGTAAACAACTTTTGGTTTTCAATGGTTTACTTGTTGTCCATTCATGCTGTAAACTATTTTTAAACATCACAGCGAGAATTTGTTAGTATAGGATTTTGAAGATTGTTGAGTTTTGATTAAGATAAGAATCGATCAATGTTAGACCAGCATTGAATACCTGGATATGTTCAACGGCCATTTCGTCCCAGTATGGGGCTCCTCAGCAGTGAGCGTTCACGGCTGTCCAATGCTTCCAGGTTTTCAACGGTCGTCTAACATTGGTTGGTTCATGATCTCAATCAAAACTCAACAATGTCCAGAAACTTATACTGATAATTATCATGTGCTCACTAGTGACCAGCTTCGACATGTGATTCTCAGAGTTCTAATGAAAAGCTGTGACCAGTGGAGCTAATCTGTGTCGGGTTTGAGATAGTTACCCGTCGAAGACAATCAAAGGTGGTCGCTCAATATCGTGGATCAGCTGAGGTTAGACATTAAAACCATTAGGTACCGGCCCAGTGGTTTACAGGTTGGGCGTTCGTGTGCGAAATTGAAGAACCTAGGTTCGATTCCCGCATGCGGGATCGTGGATGCACACTGATGAGGATTCCCGTACTTACTTACGCCTGTTACTCCTCGTGAAGGGGCATAGGTCGCTCACCAGCATTCTATATTCAACCCTGTCCTGGGCAATCTTTTCCAGCTCTTTCCAGTTGTTATTCATCCTTTTCATATCTGCTTTTATTTTCCGACGTAATGTGTTCTTTGTCCTTCCTCTTTTCCGATTCCCTTCAGGATTCCAAGTTAGGGCTTGCCTCGTGATGCAGTTTGACGATTTGCGTAATGTATGTCCTATCCATTTCCATCGTCTTTTCCTAATTTCTTCTTCAGCTGGAAGTTGGTTTGTTCTCTCCCACAGAAGGCTATTGCTGATGGTATCCGGCCAGTGGATGTTGAGTATCTTGCGTAGACAGCTATTTATAAATACTTGTACCTTCTTGATGGTGGTTGTTGTAGTTCTCCAAGTTTCAGCTCCATACAGTAGAACTGCCTTGACGTTCGTATTGAAGATTCTCACTTTGATATTGGTTGAAAGTTGTTTTGAGTTCCATATGTTCTTCAATTGTAGGAATGCGACCCTTGCTTTGCCGATCCTCGCCTTTACGTCTGCATCTGAACCTCCTTGTTCATCGATGATGCTTCCTAGGTATGTGAAGGACTCTACATCTTCCAGAGTTTCGCCATCAAGAGTGATTGGATTGCTGTTCTCCGCCTTGAATTTGAGGACCTTGGTTTTCCCTTTGTGTATGCTGAGGCCTACTGATGCAGAGACTGCTGCTACACTGGCTGTCTTCATCTGCATCTGTTCGTGTGTACGTGATAGGAGGGCTAGGTCGTCTGCGAAGTCCAAATCGTCTAATTGATTCTGAGCTGTCCATTGTATTCCGTGTTTTCCTTCAGATGTCGAGGTCTTCATAATCCAGTCGACCACCAGAAGAAAGAGGAAGGGAGAGAGTAAACAGCCTTGTCTGACTCCAGTCCTTACTTGGAATGCATCTGTCAGCTGTCCTCCATGCACTACTTTGCACTGTAGTCCGTCGTATGAGTTCCGGATAATGTTGACAATCTTCTGAGGAACTCCGTAGTGTCGAAGAAGTTTCCATAATGTCCTCCTATCTACACTGTCGAATGCCTTTTCATAATCAATGAAGTTGATGTATAGTGATGAGTTCCACTCAACTGATTGTTCGACGATGATCCGTAGTGTTGCAATTTGGTCTGTGCACGACCGATCCTTACGGAATCCAGCTTCTTGATCTCGAAGTTGGGCGTCTACTGTGTCCTTCATCCGGTTCAGCAACACTCTGTTGAAGACTTTCCCTGGTATTGACAGTAGTGTTATTTCTCTGTAGTTTTCACATTTGCTCAGATCTCCTTTCTTTGGAATCTTGACGAGGTGTCCTTCTTTCCAGTCCATCGGCACTTGTTCCTCCTCCCAAATCTTTTTGAATAGAAGGTAAGCATGCTTGTGGTTGCTTCGATGTCTGATTTCAGTGCTTCAGCTGGTATGTTGTCGGGTCCTGCTGCTTTCCCGTTCTTGATTTGTCTGACGGCCATTCTAATTTCTTCCGTCGTTGGTGGGTTGACATCTATAGGAAGATCTATGTGTGCTGCTTCGATGTCCGGTGGATTCATTGGAGCCGGCCTATTCAGGAGTTCCTCGAAGTATTCTACCCATCTGTTACGCTGTTGTTGAATTTCGGTGATTGGCTTGCCTTCTTTGTCTTTGACCGGCCTCTCTGGTTTACTGTATTTCCCTGCTAGTTTCTTCGTTGTATCGTAAAGCTGTTTCATATTTCCTTCTCTAGCAGCTTTTTCTGCCGTCGTTGCTAGTTCTTCCACGTATTTCTTCTTGTCGGCTCTAATGCTCCTCTTCACTTGTTTGTTTGCTTCTATGTATTCAGCTTGTGCTTGGACTTTCTCTGCTCGTGTTCGGCTGTTGTTGACTTCTTTCTTCTTGTTCTTCCTTTCTTTGATCTTGTCCAGTGTTTCTATAGAGATCCATTCCTTATGATGGTGTTTCTTTAGGCCCAGAACCTCTTGACACGTTGAAGTTAATGCTTCCTTGATGCCTTTCCAGTTGTCCTCCATAGTAGTTTCTTCTTCTTCAGTAGATCTTGTAAGGCTTGGAACCTGTTGTTGAGAGCTATCTTGAATTCATTGAGTTTGTCAGTATCTCGAAGGAAGGCTGTATTGAACCTTTGTAGTGCTGTTTGTCCACTTGTCCAGTTTCTTTTTAGCTTCAGTTTTAAATTGGCTACAACTAGGTGGTGATCTGAAGCTACGTCAGCACCTCTCCTGGTTCTCACATCTTCCATTGTCCTTCGGAATTTTTTGTTGATGCAAATATGATCTATTTGGTTCTCTGTAGTGTGGTCCGGTGAGATCCATGTAGCCTTGTGTATACGTTTGTGTGGAAATATTGTGCCTCCTATGACCAATTTGTTGAATGCACACAGATTTGCAAATCTTTCTCCATTTTCGTTTCTCTCACCCAGTCCATGTCGTCCCATGATATCTTCATATCCGGTGTTGTCTATTCCGACTTTGGCATTTAGATCTCCCATCAGAATAGTTAGGTCCTTTCTTGGGCATTTCTCAATGATTGACTGCAGCCGCTCGTAGAACTGATCTTTAATGTCGTCGTTGCTATCATTGGTGGGTGCATAACATTGGATAATATTCATTAAGATCCCCTCCTTCTTTGTTTTGAATGATGCTTTGATGATTCTGGATCCGTGAGATTCCCATCCTACAAGTGCATTTCGTGCTACTTTGGACAGCATAAGAGCGACTCCCTGAGTGTGTGGAGCATTGTCCTCTTCGTGACCGGAGTATAGCAGCATCTCTCCCGTAGCTAGCCTTTTCTGTCCAGCTTGGGTCCAGTGGGTTTCGCTGATTCCCAGTACTGCTAAGTTGTATCTCCTCATTTCCATTGCTATTTGACTGGTCTTCCCGGTTTCCCACATTGTTCGAACGTTCCATGTACCTATAAAAATTTTTGCTCTGGTTGTTAGAAGGGGCATCGGCCTCGTGGCTTCCGAAGGAACTCGGCTTTCACCATGAAGCGTCATAATTCTTCTAAATGAAGACCTTCTAACTCCCAGGGCAGAGTTTAAATGGTTTGAATTATTTTTTCTGGTAAGCGATTTTTTAGCGAGTTATTTTTCTACGGGATGAGGTAGCTAACCCAATGTCCAACCCTCCTCCTTTACCCGGGCTTGGGACCGGCAGTAACTCTAGTACGGCCGTCCTGTGCCTCCTGGTTTTCAGTGGTGGTCTAACACTGATCGATTCATGATTTCAATCAAAATTTATTACATTATGTAAAATTACACTGTATTTATAAAATATGAAAACAATACATCAAATATACTATTTACCGATCTTTCTTGAGTTACCCCTTGAAAATTTCGTCGTTCTTTCACTCATGTTGTCAATCTGATTACTTCCTTCTTTCCCTTCTCTTCTTTTCATTTTCCTCTTCTGTCTGTATAATTCCACTTTGAATTCCCGATACATACTACTTATATCTGTCGCCTACGAGTACCATATATCACATTACTAGACTACTCTTAGTAAATTCATTTTGTACAAGTTCAATGATTAATTACAGGTTGTACCGATGGCAAGTAATAACAGAAAACAAGAGTGAATCGTTGATGAACTCAATGCAATCTAACTAGTTTTTTTAAAATTGCATAACCAAGTGTCAGATACCAGTGGTAATTATATCGTCTTTAATCGATTATTTCGTTTTATGCATATTAGATTAATTGATTAGGTAATGTATGACATAACAATTGATGAATGCTAAATACAAGGATATCTATTCTATATTATTTCATATATAACTAACGTGAAATTCTGTTTAACATCAGATAATGAATTCAGTTCTTATATTTAACCAAAGAATATAATGTGTTATTCTTACATAGAAACATTATGCGTTAACGTTACACTCTTATTTCTCTCTTAATAAATAAACTAATGATGAAAATTGACATTCTAATCGAGAAAAATATTTCACTTACTTCAATAAATAATGATCATATGGTCACTGGTAACCAGCATCAAAATGAATTTCGCATAATTCTAGTGCGAAGCCATTAACGATGGGGTCAACCAACTTGTAGGCTAAACAGGAGCCTCGTATATAATATGAATGTAGATCAATTTATATCATATCACTAATTAGAGTTAAAAATATGAGCAAATGAAATTTTTATTCACTCATCTAATATAGTAACATGTTAATTACAAGACTTGAAAGTGATGAGTTGAATCTAATATAAGTGGACTTTTGAAGATATTACAGGTATATAGGGCTTGACAACATTATCGTGCAAAAACCTTTTCTTATACAAGTATCCCCCAATGAATCAAACCAGAATTTAAAGGTGAAGGGATGTGATGATATATTTGAATCCATGTCGGTGGATTGAAATATGTGCAATCTAGACTGATTAGTTATCATAAAAGATGCTCAACATTTTGTATCCAAACATAGTTTAGCGTACTTATATAACAGAGTGCATTCAGCTTAGAACAGGTCTAGTAAAACTAATGAGGCCAATATCAGTTTCAAAGGCTTACAAAACCATTTATTTTGGGAGTTTTTTTACCACTAAATGGTCTTGTAGATTGAAAGTGGATTCCAAAGCCGGATAAGAAAGCTATTTATTCCTTCCTAGTTTATAACAATTCGTTGATGACGAGAATGCCTTCAAACATATTAGTAATGAAAAGAAAAAGACTAAACAACAACCATTTCCTTTCGTAATTCAGCTTTTTCTAAAATTCCTATAGGATGGTATTCCTGATACACTAGACATGGATGATGATAATGATGGTATACCAGATAGCATGGATTTTGATTCAGATGGTGATGGATCGGATGATCTGTTTCAAGATATTGACAAAGATGGGGTACCGGATAGTGTAGATGATGATATGAATAATGATGGAATACCGGATCATAAACAAGATCATGATTGTGATGGAATCCCAGACATTGTTGACCCTGATGATGATAACGATGGTTATTTTGACACAAAACAGGTAAGTAAAATTACCTTTCTTTAAAAAGGGAAATTAATGAATTTTCTAAGATTCTATAAGAATTCAAGGAATTACAAACAACGTGATTATCAGTATTAATGATAAATTGCATATTGCATGCATACATTTACATATGAATGAATTTAATGTATTGTTTTTATGCTTTGAAAACACACTACTCCAAGTCAAGTTTTGTTAACAACCCGATATTGAATTTTTATTCATGATATTGCGTATTGCCAGTAATGCATACAAGTCATTCATTCATAGGCAGTGTAGAACCCGAATTAATTCAATTTGCTACACCATATACGTACACACAAATAAAATTATCAGATCACTTTCGGAAGTAGCAAAAGTGTCAACAGAAGTAGAAAAGATTAGGAATAAATGATATGGTCCAAGTATAATCAATGATTTTGTGAAATAAGTAGTGCAATTTAATAAATCGAGATTGAAGTGAAGATAGGAATTCTTCGTATATCTTCCATTACGACAGATTCCAGGACATGTTACAACAACATCACTAACCGTTGGTTATCAGAATCATACGAACCCCAACTAAATAGTCTGTACCTACCAATATGAATTAGTTTAACAAAAATTGACTTCATAGACTGACATCAAGTTTTGGTTTGAGTGATCTTAGCTTCCTTTCAATCCACTAGTCCTACCCCAGAAAACATCGTGCGTTAAGGTAAGGAGTAATTGAGCAAACGTATTGTATATAAAATAATTCTCCAAATAGATATACCTAGACGCATTATAATAATTATTTTCATGTATATGAAACAACTGAAAAATACTTCATATTATTTAAATTCTGAAAAACGATACTAATGATCTAAACATTCTTCAATATTTCACAATTGTATAATAACATTTCTTTGAATGCATTTCAGTCTAGAATGAAAAAGACACTCTATGCACCTTTGTATTTAAATAGACAGATAGATAAAAACTTTCAAAAGAAGATGTGAGTTAGAGAATATAATACTGATTATGAATCCACAATGGGATAACAAAATGTTACATGTATTCTAAGTTACATTTTCTCGTGTACTTTTATTTATGCAGAAAAAATGTATGCACACAAATGAAATGACTGACGGTGTAAATAAAAAATTCTTTGACAGTCTTTCACTAGTACGAAATCAGTTTGTTCCGTTAATCTATTCATTGATCCGGGATAGTTTAACATTTAGATTAATAATAGTGTTATGGTTTTCTTAGTCTAGAATAAGGGATACTAGTGGAAATGCCATATGCTATGCCTAAAAAAAACTAGCTCATGGTTGTATATTATGTGAAATACCAAAATTTTATTATAGAATCAATTTTTCTTACCTTTTTGTTTGTTTTTAACTATATATTTTTTTACATTAAAACTATTTTTGAAAGTACCTCAAATGTATTGTAAGTTCAACTGGCGAAATATTTTGTATAATAATATGAACTACTGATACGATTATCAACAGTATAAAATTAAACACAAAACTGTCAGATGAAGAGGTTGAAACTAAAGATAACATAATGTTCATAATCTGGGTTCGTTCAATGTATTTTACTTTTTTATGGTACACAAATAGCTAGTCTTCAGCATGAAAACAAAACCTAATGTAGTTTATGGCTGTGAAACGCATTCAGACGTAACTCGTCAAGCACGAAGAATCATTTGAAATCTAAGAGGTAGAAACATTACTGCATTATTTCTGGGTAGCATGACAAGATCTCATGTTCCCTTTTATTAGTATTACTTTCAAATAACTAATCTACAATAACGCGGGGAAAATTTTTCTCAAAGAGTCAATAAATACACACGGTCATTTGTCTCTCAATATGTACTAACCTTATTTCGAACCGCCTTGTGAATTTATTAAATGTCTACTGATTGTAAATCCTAGCCTTGTTTTTCTGAATACGGATTACTTTCTGGTCAATCTCTTCAGATTTAAAATTAATGCTCTAGTTTTTGGTTTATTCTGTTGGTTTGGTACGTCTGAAGTATTTTTTGTAACATTTCATATTTCGATTTCTGCTTTCACATCACTGATTACCACTGGATCGTCAATGTTCTAGTCATTTGATGATAAAAACTAATCCCAAATAAGCTCCCATTGGAGTCAGATTTTACTGCTAAAAACATAACCATCGACATTTTTCTCATCAAGTCTCGTTTCTAGTGAAATCACTTAGGTTACAGAATAACTGAGACGTTTAGAACCAAACTAATCATACGCAATTGATATCAATCTAAATATTTAAAAACGAGTCCGATCAATCTAAATTCATAAAATTGATCTGTACTGGTGGCGGAAACAACTAGACAGTTAGTTCCGAAACACTTACTCAAAACAATTAAAAGAATTTAAAATTGTATCTGTGATAAAAGATAATGAATGACTGGATCAATATGTAACAGATATATATGGATGAGTGAATGAAATTCCATCAAACTCTAATGTCCCAGTAAAAGCAACAATAAACAGAAGCCTTTAACTGATGAACAGATATTTGGAGATGCAAAAAGGAATTACCAAAAAGGTATTTTTGTAAAATAAATAAACATAAGCATTCAGATATCATATTTAAGGTTAAAATAAACATGTCAGTAAGCTTATATCAAAGATAACTGAATATCAATAATTAATTGGACCAGTGGTTTGAATGAAGAGTACTTGCAGCGCAAAACCAAAAGATTCTGGATCTAATCTCCGGTAGGATCAAGGGTACATATTTCTGAGGAGTTTCGTACTTTGAAAAAATAGGTGTTCAGTGATCCTTAATTTTTGCTGATTGAAGATAAATTCAGTTTGTGGTGTAAACAAACTCTACAAACCTCTAATTCTAGTAACAATTAGTTACTGAATTTCAGTCCTGAATATTAGTTTATTATTTTATATGTTTATTGATAAGGAATTGAGTTATCCTGTCGTTAATATTTTAATCTTTCTCTATTCGCATACGAACATCATATAAAGATGACCTTAACACAGTTGTTTCCTCATATGCAGTTTTAGAACAGATGGACTGTATCTAGTAATGGAATTTTGCCCGGTTCTGCACTTATCAGACGGATGTCCCTGCATTATTACGTTATTGTTCAAAATAGTAATTCAACTAGATTTCTTTTGATTCAAGTGCTAATCCATTATCTATTAAAATAATGAGTTCAGAAAGCTATCAACTTGCTCAACAAGTACGTTTTCTGCTATAATTATTAGTTAGGATCAGTATGGGGATTTGTGGAGATTGTAGTATTTTCAGAGTTTAATTCACAAGTCGATCATTAGGAGTCATGGATGAGTACTTATGAGGAGTTCTATATTAGGAAGAAAAGGCCGTCCATTTCTTCCAGGTTTTCAACAGTGGCCTAGCTTAGATCGATTCATTAATGCAATTGTGAAAATATTAGTTAGGACTTAAGTTATTCCGTTGTTAATATCCAAAGACTGAATTGAAATCAATGTTAGTTAGCAATAACGTAAAACTATTACTAAATGGATGTAGGAAAAAAATAATCGTTATAATGCACTTTTCTTCTGTATTTTTTTCCCTAAAAAATTACATTACAGGATAGCGACAATGATGGTTTATTGAATGAATGGGACGATGATGATGATAATGATGGTATTCCAGGTTAGTCACTGTGTTTGATGTATTTTTAGACAAAATAATCCATTGAAAGAAACGATAATATTTTCTATGTATTAATTAGTGCCTTTATTGGATTATTTTTAAAATTATAATTTTTAAAGTTTGAACTAATTATAAAATCAGTTTTAGACAATCTTTCATTCTTGCAAAATCTGAAATCAACATTTGAATTAGTTTGATCAAAGGTTCTATAAACTTTGAATCAATTCATCTTAGATCCTTGTATTACCATACTGTAGAAATGATAAATATTCATACAGTCATATCTATAGGTCATAATAGTTCGCCATTATTTGACACAACTAAGGAGGACATAATGTGTTCTTGGTAACCAGCCAGATTTGTATATTATCTTTTTATGTATACTGATTTTTGTGTAATGCTCAAAATAGTGATCATTTTCTAAATAACATGAGAATGTTAACCCCATAGTTGAGTAAGATGTTTATTTTAGGTTAAATAAAGATAAGATGCAGAACTGATATCCAGTCATAGAAATTTTGATAAACTGTCTTAATATTACGGTAATGATTATTTATTTTATTATCCGGTTAATTCCTACTAGTATGCAAGTGAAATATTGCTGGTTTCAGAAATAAGCCTGGCACTTCTCATTAAAGTATAGTTCCAAAAAGAGAGGTTTTCATTAACTAATCAGTTAATAATAAGATAAGGACTCTGTAAGCTGTTAGTAATAAAACTGAATGACAAATCAATAGTTATACACTTTTAACTGACCAATAAATCGATTTTTAACATACCTTATATTTCTTTTGTAGATGTGGATGATGAAGATTCGAATGGTGATGGGATCATTGATTGTCAACCACATGATAGTGATAATGATGGAATACCCGATCATATCGATGAAGATGATGATAACGATGGTATACCAGATCAACGAGATCCTGATTCAATGTCATTTCTGCTGTATAAACATAAGCGTTTTCTTGAAGCTATCCCAGGTATACACAATAATCACTCATACTTTGATTTGAATTTATCCGTTTCAAAGTAATTTATCCATCTATATGTTTCTTTCAGCAGTCAACTTGTCAAATTCAATAATCTTTTTAAATAGTAACAATAAGCATCCCTTTCGTGAAACATATTTACTGATAACTTACTTGCTTCAAATAATTATGTTTATTTACATGAGGATATTTTCAATACTAAATGTGAATTCAGAATTAATAATTGTATTTAGCTTTTATAATTCAGTGGTCAAAAGTTTTGAGAAAAAACGCAACACTGAAACACATTATTTATCAATACGAAAGATTCATTGAATATTCAGGTAGAAAGTATTCTTCTCTGCTCCCCGGTGTTGTTTCTTATATCACCCAATCCACCTAACTCTCAATTCTGACTACTTGACCACATTTTAATTAGCAGAATTGAATAGTGGCTAGTAGTGGAATCTAGGTCGAACATTTCATTCTATTTGAGACACGTCGGCAGGATAAAATGCGCGTTCAAGATTCTACTACTAGCCACTATACATCTCTGCTTAAAATGTTTGTGACTTAAAGGAATATTGAAGCGATCCGCACACGATGCACATATGCCAACAAGATAATAGTGAACTACAGTCCCAAACGTCAGTGAGACGATTCAAACAACCAATAGACGAATTAAATTATACATTAGTACATCATTTAATTCATCTGTTGAAACATTAATAAGAATGAAATGGCTTGATTTTTTTTGTTTTCTATTCCCATCGTTACTATGTCCGAATGATCTTATAATGGTATCCACTTCTCGACATAAATTCGTATGAATTAGAACTAACACTAATTTAGCATCCATACATTTTTCAAAGTCAAATCAAACATTTAGACCAATATTATTGTCCGAAAAAAATTGAAGTCTTTTATATTCAAGGGGAATGATTTAGCAAAGAAATGAATTGAAATCTGATCATTGAATATTGTTGGTAGTGCATAATTTAAAAAAAAAATCTAAATGAAAGAAATAATTTAGTTAATTGTAAAGATGTGTACCTATTTGTTGTAACATGTTTAAATTATAAAGAGTTGTTACATTTACAAACTACAACTATTGAAGATTAAGATAACTGACATTTCTGAATCCTCAGAGCTCACTACTTTGATTGATTTATCTGATGATAAACAATATAATATATTATCTTTACTAGCACCTTATATTTTCTTATAGTGTCATTATTAATGTAGAAATAAAAATTCAAATGCAATTTATCAGACAAAAGATGAATATCATTGAAATGATGAACCGATCAAAATAAGACAACTGTTGAAAGTCTGAAAGCACCAGACAGTCATTTTGTCCTATTATGGAACTCTTCAACAGTGCATATCCACAATACCGCAAGACAAAATAAATGACGATTGTGTTATATTTGACAAATATTAGTTGGAAGACGCATAGTTAACTTTGAATCAGTTTATGTATGAAAGTAAACAAATAGTAATTTAGGCAAATAGAGAAAGATAAGCGTGGATACACAAAAATATACTTAGAGGAAAGGTTAAAATAAATTATATATGAATACATAAAATATAACAGATCAGATTACAGTGTCATATGTTTGGGACAGATAAGTTGAAATAACAGCTTGTATCAGTCTGTTATACAAGTTCACGAAACGATTGTTAATTCCGTTAAGTATGCAGTATGCCTTAAGTGTATATAAGCTCGCTAAAACACAAAAAACTACAATCTCATACATAACTGTGTGCTACTTATATAGACATAAGTAGTATGCGATGTTAGTCGTGAACAGGTCTGGCAGCAGAGAGGCATGAGGATCGAACAGTAAAGAATGGGAACAGATTGCAATTTGTATGAAAATGCAAGAACAATGAAGTCTGAGTTATTTTGAGACAATCAATGGACATTTTGCAAATTAAGCATTTACTTTATGATTGTTAGATTTTATTAACAAGTCCTGTAATTTTGTGTTAAATACATTCGATTGTCCCCATTGGTGTTCGTGTTCACTACAACTGTATACTTACAAGTGTTATTTAAAGGAACATAAGCTTAACGTAATGAAGGAAAATATTTGTTTGCCTATTGAAATTGTTTATTCAAATCAATTTTTATCCATTCTTGCTTTCCTTATTTTTTTTTTATGTAAACTCCATCAACTAAATCACATTTATCAAAAACAAAAAAATTATTTCAGATAATCGTCTGAAAAAAATTCGAGTTTATATGCCAATTTTTGTGAAAAAATTTCCACATGGAATGTCCGACAGTGAAATATCTAACGATGTACAATATACACATGGTGAACTATGATACTCGTCAATTTAGTATTACGATAATGATTCTTACTTTAAAAGTGTTGTGTTTGTCTAGAGTTTGAAAATGCATGAAGACTTTTTTTTGAATATTACAAATGTGTACAATGTCTATCATGTTTTTAGAGTTTATTGTTGCACCTTTCTTTACAAAGATAAATGATTTCCCACTTATACTTAAACACAGATTTGTTGTCAGGACAATTAAAACTACATATATATATAGGCACATTTTATTATGTACGCCAGAGTACGAATAGTCAATATTATCATACAGAATTTCAAGTTATCATTTTCTTCAACAATGTCTGTCCTAATCTCATTACTTTTAATTAAGGAGTAATTATTATTTTACATGAACTACCGAGTCATACATTACCATGGTCTTCAGTATTGTATTTTATTTTTGGTGTATTTTTTCTAGATGTCATCATGGAACGTGAGTTAACTTTCTTCGCATATAAAAAAATAGGTTGAGAAGAAGAAATAACAAATTTAAGAACTAATCGACTTATGAATAACCACTGTTATATTAGTTTAGTTTTTTTTTTCATGAAAAATACTTAACTGATAACAACTAGAAAAATTATTTATTCCCTAAACCCTGTAATAATATCAAGTGATCTACTTTAATACACCATTTAAAAAATTTGAAGCACTAGACGGACGTTTCGTCCTAGTATACAACACCTCACTAGTGAGCATCCGTGAGACCCTCACGTCACAATCGAACAAACGACCCTCAGTCTCACACTGGAATACTTAATATCTAAACCATTGAATCGTAATCCGACAGTATCATTTTCTAACTTCAGTCAATCCGCAATAGTACACGACCATCTCCCATTGTCTTCAGTAGGTAATTGCCACTCACTCGACACGGTTCAGCTTCCCTGATCAAAGTCCCTCACTAGAAGTGTTGAAATTTCCTCTGGAAATTAGTTACTAGTAACCACATAATAATTATATGTGTTTGTTGAGATTTTTGAATTACACTAAAATCCTGAAGAGACTTAAATTAGACCACTAGGTCTTTAATGGTGGTCTTTCAGGATTTCAATGAATTTCAAAGACCTCTACAACATTATAACTAACTTACTTACACCTGTTACCTTTCATGGAGTAGCATAGGCCGCTCGCCTGCATTCTCCATCCAACCCTGTCCGGAGCAATCCTTTACAGTAGTTTCCAGTTGCTATATTTCCTTTCCATGTCTGCTTCCAATTCTCGGCGCAGTGTGTGTTTTGGCCTTCTTCTTTGCCGTTTCTATTCAGAATTTCAAGTTAGCACTTGCCTCGTGATGCAGTTTGATGATTGACGTATGTCCTATCCACTTCCAATGCATTTCCCTAACTTCCTCTTCAGGTAGAACCTGGTTTGTCCTCTCCCACAGTAAGCTGTTGCTGATGGCGTCCGGCCGAAGGACCTTCAATATCTTACATAGACAATTGTTTAGAAATACATCTACCTTTTTGATGATGGTTGTGGTAGTTCTCCACGTTTCAGCTCCTTACAGTAAAACTGTCTTGATGTTCGTATTGAAGATTCTGACTTAGATATTGGCTAACAGTTGTTTTAAGTTCCATATGTTCTTCAACTGTAGGAACACTGCCCTTACTTTGTCAATCCTTGCCTTTACATTTGCACCAGATCCTCTACGTTCATTGATGTTGCTGCCCAGATATGTGAAACTTCCCACGTCTCAGAGTTTCGCTATCAAGTGTGATTGGTTTCGTGTTCTCTGTGTTGAAGTTGAGGATGTTGCTTTTTCCTTTGTGTTTTATAAGGCCTACTGATGCAGAGACAGGTGCTACGCTGGTTATCATAACCTGTACTTGCCCGCGTGTATGGGATAGAAGGGTCAGGTTATCTTTGAAGAACGAATGTTCCAATTGACTCCGAGCTGTTCATTGTATTCCTTACTTCCCTCAGATATCGAGATCTTCATAATCCAGTCGACCAACATAATAAAGAGGAAGGAGGAGAATAAGCAGTCTTGTCTTATTCCTGTCCTCACTTGGAATGAGTGTCAGCTGTCTTTCATGAACCACTTTGCAGTGTAGTTCGTCTTATGAATTCCTGATGTTGATGATCTTCTCCGGTACTTCACAGCGTTGAATTTTCCATAATGTTCTCCTATCCACACTGTCAAAAGCCTTCTCAGAGTTTAGGAAGTTGGTGTACAGTGATGAGTTCCATTCAATTGATTGTTCAACAATGGTCTGTAGTGTGGCGATTTGGTCCGTGCACGATCGATCCCTACGGAATCTGGCCTGTTTCTTAACAAGCTTTTGTATCGTTGTTTCTTCTTTTTTACAATGACACAGTTAATATAAGTAAGCATAGTGTTGTTTAATCCGTTTAAACGCTAACCAGAATAAACAGATTAAACACTATACTTACTTATATTAACTGTGTTATTGTAAACCAGAAATAGCAGTACAACAGTTTGTTAAAAAGCATTCCTAGAACTCCAAAGTTCGGGATTCTAACAATGGCATGAGCTGGTATATACAACCTCAAAAGTCGACTACGTGGTTCCTCATAATTATGCTTTGATCATGATCATCATCTGTTTAACAACGACATAATTATTTTTTTAAGTTTAAATTAGAGATTTCATTAATTTAACGTAAATGAGCTTAACAATAACTTCTTTTAACACTATTTGAAATTGGACCTAAAACTATTAAAATATATGTTAAAATGTAATTTATTCAGGCGTTACAGTTTTATGTATTTAATCCTCCTTGTACATTTTGTTATAACAAATTAGTTTCTATAGTAAATACTCCCTAACAAGCCATGAAATGATAAATAAGATTTTCCAATGTAAAATTACTACAACAATTATTAATTCTAGCCTCGTTAGTTTGAAAGCATGCTTTAATGTTTTGCATGAATAATAGTTAATTTCTACAAAGAATTATGACCGTCCAAGTAGTTTTCCATGAGTTCATATCTGTTTTTTTCTGTTTGTGTGTTTATATGTGACCTATTTCCCTGTTATCTGTTAGCATAAACTATTCTTGCCTAGGTTATAGATATTATGAATATTCAATGTTATATGTGTAAAGAATTGATACACTGAACAATGTATTTACTGATCAGATTTATGAAAATATATATATTTAGGGAAAAAGAGCTTTCTTCAAATAACAGATCTCAGATTTTGGCGCGAAATTCATCCATCCATCGGGCTAAATAAAGTTTTGGCATTATAAGTGATGTCAGTTCATAATGAAAACCCTAAATCTAATTCCTAACCCTAACCGTCCCCACTGTGCTACCTTGTTAAGCTTCATGCTGATTCAATTTCGCATATTTTCAGCTCATGTGAAGAAAATGAGTATACTACTTTAAGATCATCTGCATATAGAAGGGGGTTACCCACACAAAAACTTTCACAAATATCATTGATAAACACTAAAATGAGCAAAGGGCCTAAGACACTACCTCGTAATACACAACATCTGACAGGGACAGCATTAGACAATGAAGAGTTATTTTTAAATATTTGATGTCGATTGCTGAGAACGGAATCAAACCAAGCTAGCCAAGGGTGTTGAACCCCGTAAGATGCGAGTTTACCTATAAGAAGTTGGTGGTTAACCATGTCGAAGGTTTTAGAAATGTCCAGATATAGCACTAAGACTAGATATCCTTGGCTATGTAGAGAATAGACTAAATTAAAGAAGTCAAAATGACATGTCATACAAGAACGATTTTTAAGAAATCTATGTTGAGTATCATTGATAAATTTTCCAGCGAGTAAATAGTTCGAAAGTTCATCACTTATAATTTTTTCCATAATTCGAGAGATAACTGGAGTAATATTTATCGGCCAATAATTGTTCATGTCAGGCTAATCTCTAGATTTGTAACGTGGTATGATGTACGCGGTTTTCCAACAGTAAGGGTAAGAACCTTGTTCCATAGAGTAAACAGCTTTAGAATAAGTGGAATATCTGGACCACTATATTTGTAGACAAAGGATGAAATCCCATCTGCTCCATGACCTCTAGAAAGCTTAAGGGTATTTATAGCCTTAATATCAGATGGGTTTTGTGGAGATTGTAGTAATTTCAATGGTTAAGATCATGAGTCAGTTGAAGCTAGACCACTATGGAAAACCTGGAAGCACTGGACGGCCGTTTCGTCCTATTGTGGGACTCCTCAGCAGTGCGCATCCATGACCTCGCCCCCTGCGAGATTCGAACCCAGGGCCTACTGGTTCCACGCGCGAGCACTTGACCACTAGACCACTGAGCCGCCATCAAGACGGTGTTAATGTCTAACTTCAACCATTTATAGCCTTATTAATTTTCATGCATGTGAAGGAGATAGATTTTATTGAGTTGCTAGTCACTCTTGAAGAGGAGCCATTTATGATTTCTACACCATTCGCAAAAGTACCACTGGAAAGGTCTGCTATAGTTTTAGAGTCGTATATAAAAGTGCTACTATGCTGGATGCATAGTATATCAACGTTTTGAGTTGCTTTGGCGCGTTTATTCAAAAGGAGAGTTAGGTTTTGTACTTTTGAGTTAATATTAGGTGCTAGTATCTCTTCATTAATGGCTTTTAACCTATGTTTCGTCTTTAATCTGGTTAAAATTTATTGCTATTTATGCAACTGCCATGAAGTCGTTTGACTTAAAATAACGTTTCTGTAGGCGTCTTAGTTTATTACGATATTTCGCTGGTATATATAATTCGTAAGGTTTACTAAACCTGTCCATTTTAAGAGGTACACAGGAATCTAAACAATAGTTAACGACCACATAGAATTCGTCGATAGCATCCATGAGACTATTACATGAAAAAATGGATGCTTGCTCAACATGGACATAATCGATTTACGAATTAATGACATTTTTATTGTTTAGGGGATTGAAAACCAAACAACATAGATAGCATTAACTCTACTTTTACAGTATAAAAAAGATGAATAACAATTATGTAATAAATTCAAAAATATTTGGCTTGTTAAAACTTCAACTAGTAAATAAATGTGAGACAATCCAACGCTAATTTACTTGATAAACTTAATATTTTTAGTCGCTTACCTTCGTAAATGTTTAAATCTTTACATTTCCACGTGTGACATTTACGGATTCTGAGTAGATATTATGTTGTAATTGTTATAAACGTCATTCATACATTATTACTGAGCACTTAAATCTCTTAATTTTACTACTAACCACCTCTAAGAACATCATTAGTTGTATTGAAAAACGTTTATTGAATTCATTAGTGTAATTAATTTGATGAATATCTGTCAACTTAAAATACCGTCAATATTACACCATTTTTAATGCGGATTTGTGATTTTCTCGCTACCCCCTTCCTCTTGTACAAATAATTCAATAACACTAGATTTGTATGTAGTTTTCTTCACTAAGTACACTTGTGTTTGTACAATTTAGGCTTAAATGTGCACTGGAGTATCATACATAGTATTTGGCTTGAGTGTGATTCTACGTATATTGTTATTCCTAAAAAAAAACCCATAATTTATGAATACAATTGCTATTTTTTGTTTGCAGCTCATATTGCACGACAAGAGGCCAACTTGTTAAATGTCGATTTAGGCGATCCAAACGATAAGATTGTGATGGAATTCCAGATCATATTGATAATGATTTGGATAATGATGGAAAAATCGACAGAACACAAGATTCAGATATGGATGGATTATTAAACCACGTAGACGAAGATGATGATAATGATGGTAGGAATTATTATGTTTTTTTTGTTAAAGAAAATTGGTAGTTTTAATACATTTGATTAATTCTAGATATTTTGATTATGAATTGACGTCAATTGTGAAAAAAATCAATGAAGAATAAAGAGGAGTAGATGTATATACCATTGTGATTTGAAACTTTTAAAATATGCGCACAAGTTTACTGTGTCCGGTATGAAAGCCATGGAAAAACACTCTACCGTTGGAAATATTGAGGATTTGTGATGAAGCACTGTTGTAGTTGGATTATGTATGGTTGGTTTTATAATAGTGCTTGACTGATTAGCTAATAACCTCTTGTCAGTTTCCTCATCAGTATACCTATATAATATCCTGGTAGTATCATATGTCAATGAATCACTCTATAATGATAAAAAAATCAAGAATCACAGAAAATAATGTACTGTCAGACCAACTCAATAGTATATATAAAAAGAAACGTCTTTTATTGTATTACTACATTCATCATCCTACTGACCTTTGATTTTATTATTGTTCAGATATGCATGTACTGATGATTTGTAAGAAACCTATGATTTGTTCAGCCTTCTACCTGTTGTACCAGTATGGCTTTAATTTAATACACTCTTAGTTATGAATATGATGTATTCAGGTTTCAATCCATTTCATGAATTTTTCACAATTTACTCTATAAGAGATGGATTACTTATCTTCAAGTGGATTGGATTGTTTCGGTATATACCAAGAGACTTATGTACTCCTCCTTCTTTAGCATACTTCATTATGATGTCACAAATCGGTTGATTCTATTTCTATACAATTTGTTTAAAAATGAAAACATTTAGACAATGAAAGTTTTCTTCTCGACGATTTATTCTCTTTATTAATCTGATCAGAACAAATACTAAAATTCCAAATGAAAAAATGGTACGAAATCATTTTATTTCGTGAAATCCCATCAACTGCCTATAACTCTTAGTTGGATTGACAAAACTTACTGATTTGATTGAAATATAACATATTGTTATATAAACATACATAGTTCCCATTTAAATATAAGAACATGAAATTCATCGAGATCTCTTTTCAACGAATTTATTATCAAGCTGTACAATCGTATATATATAAGAACTTTCGTCTAAATTTGAACGAACAGTTTCACAGTAATTGAACACCGAGTTTATGTAAGACATTAATGAGGAAGAATATATTTTTAACATCTCAGTGATTGAATTTGAAGTAAATCCAACGTTTCGTTCGGTGATCTCGTCCAAGCTTTTTCTAAGAACTATAAGCAAACATCGCTGAACTTTGTGTTTATAATTATTAATTTTATATACGTTTTTATTTGTACAAGCAATAATTTATTGTTATTATTTACACTCTATGACCTATTACATCATCGTGTTTTTAAAATTTCATACACATTTACAATTTTATAGCTTAATAAAAAGTTCTTTGAAAAGAGATTCCTTCTGTGAATTTTTCGTCGTATAATCTAAAAACAACACTCATGAATACTTGAATCAAAATAGGGTTATATTTCAAGTTGTTTGATATCTACCAAACTGATAGAAAAAGTAAATGAAAAGTAAGATAGGAAATATATAGAACCGGAATTTCAAACAGGATGTGTCACTTCATCATTTACTTCTTTACAATAGTGACTAAAAAACCTAAGTTGATGCCAGTTGCCTAAAACAGCAACTTACAGCTTTGGAACTAATGACCATTACTTAGCACATAAATGCACCATAGAACCAAAAACAACTCCATTATAACTGAAACAAATAAAACAATAATATAAGAAATAATAATCTTACAAAGTAGTACGAAAATACTAATAAATCTTCAAATTCTTTTATAAAAGTGATTGAGCATAATATATATCGGAAAGCCTTCGTTAGTTCTCCCTAATTACTTATTATTTTAAATCATATTGTACTAACGTTTCAATGAGGTAGATTACTAAAATTAGTAACAATATATAGCTTGTACTGATGAACTAGGAAACCATGTAAGAAATTGGTAGATTATAACGTGAATAATCGATATAAATGAGCTATATTGTTTTCTTGTAGATCTTTACTAGGTTTTACTCTAATATTTGGTTACATATATGAAAATATATTTAACTATGTAATCTACTTAATTGTTATGTTCGACTCATAAACTGCCTTGGTTGGTTTAATTTTTCATACACCCATATAAATATTACAAAGCCCGATAAAGACCTGACTGAAAACAATGTTGTTTGCTTATATGTGTTGATCTAACTTGCAGTATGAAAATTTCAATACTTTTCAATTTACATTTTTTATTGAAATCCGTCGTAACAACTGAAATTACTGATAGTTTTATTGTATACTTTATATCATAGACTGACTTAGTTAAATAAGGATTGGAAATCAGTAAGTACTGGACAACTGTTTTTTCATATCATGCAATTCTTCAGTATTGTTCATTAGTGACGCGTTCGATCTTCAATAGCATTGTGGATGGACGCTGTTGATAAGTTACGCTATTCTAGGATGAAGCAGTTGTTCATTAATTCTTGGTATTCATGGTTATCTAATTAAAGTCGGTCCATGATGTAAACAATAAAATTTAACAGTTTTCAAAAGCCTTCTATATCAAAAGCTGTGTTTATCCTTTTCAGATTTCTCTTTTCTTATCTACCCTTCTTTAATTTTTGTTTTAAGGTATTCCTGATGTATTAGATCCTGATGCAAATGGTGATGGTATTCCAGATTGTCGACGTGATGGTGGATTACATTATAAACTAGTTAAATCACCTTCTGGTTTAATTAAAAAAGTATTAAGAATACGTGAACCAACACAAGAAGAACAACATCAAGCCTATATGGTTAATGAAGCTAAACGTAAATTAATACGTATTCGTGCTAAACTACGTGAACCTTTACCAAAGAATACAATACAAGCAATTCCATCATTTGATTTCAATGATAACATGAATGATAATCCAGATAATCAACATAATGTTAATGAAATAAAATCTAAAATAAAATCATTTAATTCAAAATCTGTTCAATCTAATATCAATTCAAAAAATGAACATACAATTAAACATCATCCAAATAATAAACAAGAAAATGGCGGTAATATAAATTCAAAGAAAACATCAATACAGGGAATCAAATCTACTGGTTCACCTTCTTTAAAACAATCAAATCAACAACAAATACCAATAAAACAAGTCAAAGAACAAAATACTGTTAAATTAAATAATAAACAACAAAATCGTAAATTAGCAGAAAGTTTAATACCAAATGAAAATACTGATTCATTTTATTCTTTAGATAAAGACATTTCACTGAATATTCATGATATGAATGATTACCCTGATCATGTTTCTACTCACTTTGATAATGCTAACATGATGATGATGATGATGACAATGAAATAGAGAATGATCAAGAAGTTAATTTAGCTGATACAAACTTAAAATCATCAATATTTGGCAGTTTTTTATTGCCTGGAGCAGAAGCAGAAACAGCTAATGAAGTAACTGGATCAAATAGAAAAAATATCAAGAAAATGAAACAAAACGAAGCAACACAAATGAAAAAAGTTGATAAATTAAAATCAAAAGAAAAACAGAAGGTTAGAAGAATTACATAGTTAAACTATTCATCAATCCAATTACTTATTTAGAAAAAAATTTAGATAAATATGAAGTTAATAATTTCTTGGCCGAGACTGTAATTCATGGACGAACCAATCAGATTTAGGATAATAGGTCTTAGATTTTGGCACGAAATTCATTCATCCATTTGGCTAAATAGCGTTTTGACATTTTAGCTTATGTCATTTCGTGATGAAAACCGTAAATCTAATTCCTAACCCCTACCATCAACCGAAAATCATAATCCCTATTCTTCACATTGCTTTATAACACTCATTTAGTCTTGGTTAGTAGATGGACATTCTCAAGGTCACTTTAGCGTCGCTCAATGATCGTCCACAAATTATAGTCTCACCAATTCTGTTTTATTTGTTTTACTATTGAAAATTGAAACAATCATTGCCTTGAAATTTATCATCTTACATAGTTCATATACTTCTGAATAGATTCAAACAATTATAGAATGAAACAGTTATTCCGTTGTGTAAATTAGTTTCTAACAGTTATAATCTGCAATAAACCATTTATAAATTTCTTTTATGGTGTATACTTTTCTTAAGTTAGTCTAATTTTATTTTATTCTTGTATGTTAATAATAATGTTGACTGATTTATAAAACATACACAGAAACTATTATGTTTTAACTCTAGACATTTCAATAATTCAATAAATATTTATTAGTAACATGACTTATTAAATATTTTTATCATCGTCTATTATTATCATTAACTTAAGATCACGTTATATGTAAAAAAAAAATGAATTCTGTTCTTATGAACATGAAGAAATTTGATAACAAACTGGGACAATAAAAGATTGTTCATTCTCACTGAAATCATGAACTGATCGAAGTTGAAACTTCATTGATACTTCGTTCTAGCATACAACTCCTCAGTAGTGAGCATCCATGATCCCTCACGTCGGAATCGAACCAAGGACACTCGGTTTCACGCGGGAACACTTAGTCTCCAAATTACCGAATTGGCATCCAACGGTATTAATTTCTAACTTTAATCAATCCGCAACATTGCGCGATGATCTTTAAATTTAATTCACTTCAGGATTTCAGTGAAATTCAAAAATCTCAACAAACACATATAATTACTATGTGGTTACTAGTAACTAATTTCTAGGGGAAATTTCAACACTTCTAGTGAGAGACCGTGATCAGTGAAGCTAAACCGTGTCGAGTGAGGGGCAATTACCTACTGAAGACAATGGGAGATGGTCGTGTACTATTGCGGATTGACTGAAGTTAGAAAATGATACTGTCGGATTACGATTCAATGGTTTATATATTAAGTTTTCCAGTGTGAGACTGAGGGTCGTTTGTTCGATTGTGACGTGAGGGTCTCACGGATGCTCACTAGTGGGTGTTGTATACTAGGACGAAACATCCGTCAATTGCTTTCAGCTTCCCAGTTATATTTTAACTCAGATCAGCTCATCAATTCAAGAGAAATCCTTTTTACCAGTCAGGAAATACAGAGTGATCAGAATCACTTTTTCATACAGCTCTTAGTAAACAGAAAATAAAAAATAGTAACAATAATTAAGAAATTTTTATTTAAGTTGGATATTGGTGAGCATTTGAACTCAGGAAACACGTTTTATGTTATTTGGAACTTGTAAGCTTGATACAATTATTAGTCACTATCCAACATGAATAAAAACCTCTGGTTGAATGGGAATATCAAGGTAATCCGGTCAACATGTAAGTATGCCGAAAATGAAACTGACTAATTGCAATTCTTAACGTTGACAACATTAACTTTTACAGTTAAACAGACTAATAACAAACGAGATAATCGTATTTCTTAATTCCGAAGTTAATTTTGCATAATAATGTCATGTATATTTAACAATTGTTTTATGATACTCTCCATATTAGATTTCGATTTACTTTCAAAATTACTTAAATGATTTAAAGAATAAGAAATAGTGAATCACGGACATGCAAATTTTAGATAATCCCATGTCAAGTTCATTACATAGTTCGTCTTATTACTTATCGCAATAATGATATTGTCAACTATGCACATGATTAATAGATTATTTTAAAAAATGTAGTCCAGATTTACATAAATAAATATGCATAATAATACTGTGATACAGGATTGTCTGTATATGAACGTACCTGAAAAAAGTATTGGAAGGCCTTTGAGTCCTATTGTGGGAGTCCTCATCAGTGCGTATCCACGATCCTGCTCGCGAGATTCGAACCCAGGGTCGTCTAGTGCTTTCAGGTTTTCAATGGTGGTCTAATATTAATCGGTTCATGATCTCAATCAAAAACCTAATAATCTCCACAACCCCATACTGATAATACTTTTTTCAAAAAAAGTGAAAAGTTCCTGTAAATTCTTTTCTTCATGGTCAAGTTATTTACAGTGTTCTTCTTAATATTACTGATGAAATAAGCCGGAAACTAATTTGAAATTTAAGAAAATTCCATTTATAAAATTTTAAACTTGTATATGTTGAATTTACAGTGGACTACTACTACTCTAAATAAGTTTCTTATTTGAAGTTGTAAAACAGAAAATCTAATGATGCATATTTTGAGAATAGTCCGATTTTTCAAAAAGATGTATTTATAGATCAATAGAAACAGTTGTAACGTTTAAGTTCCTATACTTAATCAGTACTAATCTCAGTTATTATTTGTGTAATTTAATGGATTATTGAGTGTGTATTTGTAGAAACGGACTGTTGATTGGTTGATAATAAATGATTTCGTAGAATGTTTAGTCATCCTAGGTAACTCGACGTATGTCTATTTTGTCAGTAATCTGATAGACAATTTGGCAAACAAGGAAAAATCTCCGAACTTTTATAGCTTCGACTAAATTTATAGGTGTAAGGAAAACATAGCTTGTCAATATGTAAATACAATGAAAAGCAGTAGTAATTTAAACATTGACTGAAAAAAAAATCCAGATGATGATTAAAAGCAGTGGTCAGTAAAAAAAACGTAAAAAGAGAGATCACAGGATCAGTTGAATTAACATGGTTTATAAAATTTCTATTTTCTTTATAATCTGCCTCCTAACTGAGACTCTGAAATGGCGACCTCAATAAAATTAGGCTAGTTTCAAGTAAGTTATCGAAGTGTGTCAGATCTTTACTCTTTCATAAGTTATATAATACCAGTTTAATTATGGATGTCTACACTTAAGTTCACCAACTAACAATGTTTGTAAATGAGAGACTTACCGAATTCTCTTTATTCACAAACTATTGGCAGAGTTAAAACTGTCACACTTGCAATGGCTATGTAAAATACTATCTGACAGATTCATGCATTCTTCCTACTTTTCCGAATAGTTACTCTTTGTTCATCTAATTTTCTAGAGATTGATCTTCTACTTAGAAATCCTTTCGTCGACTTGGAGTGTGTACATGGCATAGTTATATATGATAAAGATGCAGGAAAAATTCATTCTTTTGAACGCCATGAATAACGAATCACGGATACTTGAGATGCATATGGGTTTTTTTTTAATAATTCAGCTGGTCTATTTTGTTTATTGAGAAAGGTTTTGAGTAAGCTAGCAATTTAATTATTGTAAAAACCAAACAATTATGAAAGACTGATAGCAAATGAAATCTAGATATGGATTTGAATGTCTCTCATCCCATTTATTTACTTATATTATATGTAGCACAAATGGGATGTCAATCTGTCTTTTTGAGGACGGATATAATAAATAGCGATTTTTCCTGTATTTCTTTACTGCAGTGAACAATGGCCTTCAAAAATCGAGATCGCGAGTTCGTTGATAATATTTATTCAAAATTGTATTTCATGCATGAAAGAACTAACGGGTTATGATCCTTAGGTACGACTTAGGAAAACAAATAATAGAAAGTGTAAATCAAGTGACAGACCTCCGACTGCATATTGAAACCTATGTAGATTTTGCACCAATTTATAAGCCTTGTCCATTGTTCAATTACTAGTAATACTATCATTTTGTTGCTCAAATGTCCGTAAGTGATTCAACACACTGAGGACACTATCCAAAACCGAACCTATCAACATTCGGAATTACTTTCAAGTATGACAATATGGCACAGTTACAGTTTATTCACAAATAAATCGTTAAAAAATGTCCATTTACTAAATATGTTCCTTGAATGTTTAACCGTGATACCTCAAAAAGAGATAGTGAATCATGTATATTATAGTTCTAAAAAATTTCATCGTTTCTCATCAACTCATAAAACTTCTGATGTTAATTATGTTCTCAATATACTCTATTTAGCATGACAGTGAAATATTGGCTACCAAAAAATCTAAAGACTGATATGTTTTCTGTTTTTCATTTTGTTCGTTTCGTTACGGTTTCATAATGCTAATATTGGCAGATTGTATAAGTTTTGGATTTATTTATGACCAAATGATCTCGATGTTAGTTGATTTGGGAAAAATATCTTTATGGGATCAATATCAATGAAAATATGATCAAACCTGTCACAGTACCTTCTAAACATTCTATACAAATATCATGCACATTAAAAAAATTTTAAATCTAAATCTTGACAAATGTTCAATATTATGTATTTTATTCCTGTTAGGTTAATGAAAATGACAAAAGGTTACACTCCACAAAAAATAAACAATCATGTGACGTCCATTCATGTCAAACAACAAAAAATAACCAGGTGAAAACTCACCGAAAATCTCGTTCTATCACAAACTATTTATCTAGGCATCATGAAAATGATCATGATGACGAAGATGAAACATCGCTAGACTCAGATGGTAACGGCATACCGGATTATATGGAAGATGAAAATGGCGATGGTATTCCGGACTACCTAGAAGATGATGATAATGATGGCATTCCAGATCATTTAGAAACTGATTCAGATGGAGACGGTATTCCAGATTATATGGAAGATGATGATGGGGATGGAATACCAAACTACCTAGAAGACGAAGATGAAAATGGCATTCCAGATTACCTGGAAAATGGTAAAGAGAGCGAAAATCAAGGTAAGTATAAAATAAACGAACGTCCAGTTCGAAAACATAAAACTAAAGAAATACGTTCAGTTAACAATAAAAAAAATATGATCCGATACGAAAAAAACATCAATAAAAAAATGCACAGTCAACAACGCTGCTCCCACCATAACCATCTGGCACACGATTCGCATGGCAATGGTATCCCTGACCACAGGAAGATGAGGATGGTGACGGAATTCCAGACTACCTGGAAGACGATGACGGGGACGGTATTCCCAATTATCTCGAAACGAGTCACCTCAAGAGAGCAAGCAAATTACCGAAACATATCGACAGGGACGGTGATGGAATTCCAGACCATCTAGAGGGTGATTCTGATGGTGACGGTATCCCTGACCACCAGGAAGATGAGGATGTGACGGAATTCCAGACTACCTGGAAGACGATGACGGGGACGGTATTCCCAATTATCTCGAAACAGTCACCTCAAGAGAGCAAGCAAATTACCGAACATATCGACAGGGACGGTGATGGAATTCCAGACCATCTAGAGGTGATTCTGATGGTGACGGTATCCCTGACCACCGAGATGAGGATGGTGACGGAATTCCAGACTACCTGAAGACGATGACGGGGACGGTCCCAATTATCTCGAAACGAGTCACCTCAAGAGAGCAAGCAAATTACCGAAACATATCGACAGGGACGGTGATGGAATTCCAGACCATCTAGAGGTGATTCTGATGGTGACGGTATCCCTGACCACCAGGAAGATGAGGATGGTGACGGAATTCCAGACTACCTGGAAGACGATGACGGGGACGGTATTCCCAATTATCTCGAAACGAGTCACCTCAAGAGAGCAAGCAAATTACCGAAACATATCGACAGGGACGGTGATGGAATTCCAGACCATCTAGAGGGTGATTCTGATGGTGACGGTATCCCTGACCACCAGGAAGATGAGGATGGTGACGGAATTCCAGACTACCTGGAAGACGATGACGGGGACGGTATTCCCAATTATCTCGAAACGAGTCACCTCAAGAGAGCAAGCAAATTACCGAAACATATCGACAGGGACGGTGATGGAATTCCAGACCATCTAGAGGGTGATTCTGATGGTGACGGTATCCCTGACCACCAGGAAGATGAGGATGGTGACGGAATTCCAGACTACCTGGAAGACGATGACGGGGACGGTATTCCCAATTATCTCGAAACGAGTCACCTCAAGAGAGCAAGCAAATTACCGAAACATATCGACAGGGACGGTGATGGAATTCCAGACCATCTAGAGGGTGATTCTGATGGTGACGGTATCCCTGACCACCAGGAGATGAGGATGGTGACGGAATTCCAGACTACCTGGAAGACGATGACGGGGACGGTATTCCCAATTATCTCGAAACGAGTCACCTCAAGAGAGCAAGCAAATTACCGAAACATATCGACAGGGACGGTGATGGAATTCCAGACCATCTAGAGGGTGATTCTGATGGTGACGGTATCCCTGACCACCAGGAAGATGAGGATGGTGACGGAATTCCAGACTACCTGGAAGACGATGACGGGGACGGTATTCCCAATTATCTCGAAACGAGTCACCTCAAGAGAGCAAGCAAATTACCGAAACATATCGACAGGGACGGTGATGGAATTCCAGACCATCTAGAGGGTGATTCTGATGGTGACGGTATCCCTGACCACCAGGAAGATGAGGATGGTGACGGAATTCCAGACTACCTGGAAGACGATGACGGGGACGGTATTCCCAATTATCTCGAAACGAGTCACCTCAAGAGAGCAAGCAAATTACCGAAACATATCGACAGGGACGGTGATGGAATTCCAGACCATCTAGAGGGTGATTCTGATGGTGACGGTATCCCTGACCACCAGGAGGATGAGGATGGTGACGGAATTCCAGACTACCTGGAAGACGATGACGGGGACGGTATTCCCAATTATCTCGAAACGAGTCACCTCAAGAGAGCAAGCAAATTACCGAAACATATCGACAGGGACGGTGATGGAATTCCAGACCATCTAGAGGGTGATTCTGATGGTGACGGTATCCCTGACCACCAGGAAGATGAGGATGGTGACGGAATTCCAGACTACCTGGAAGACGATGACGGGGACGGTATTCCCAATTATCTCGAAACGAGTCACCTCAAGAGAGCAAGCAAATTACCGAAACATATCGACAGGGACGGTGATGGAATTCCAGACCATCTAGAGGGTGATTCTGATGGTGACGGTATCCCTGACCACCAGGAAGATGAGGATGGTGACGGAATTCCAGACTACCTGGAAGACGATGACGGGGACGGTATTCCCAATTATCTCGAAACGAGTCACCTCAAGAGAGCAAGCAAATTACCGAAACATATCGACAGGGACGGTGATGGAATTCCAGACCATCTAGAGGTGATTCTGATGGTGACGGTATCCCTGACCACCAGGAAGATGAGGATGGTGACGGAATTCCAGACTACCTGGAAGACGATGACGGGGACGGTATTCCCAATTATCTCGAAACGAGTCACCTCAAGAGAGCAAGCAAATTACCGAAACATATCGACAGGGACGGTGATGGAATTCCAGACCATCTAGAGGGTGATTCTGATGGTGACGGTATCCCTGACCACCAGGAAGATGAGGATGGTGACGGAATTCCAGACTACCTGGAAGACGATGACGGGGACGGTATTCCCAATTATCTCGAAACGAGTCACCTCAAGAGAGCAAGCAAATTACCGAAACATATCGACAGGGACGGTGATGGAATTCCAGACCATCTAGAGGGTGATTCTGATGGTGACGGTATCCCTGACCACCAGGAAGATGAGGATGGTGACGGAATTCCAGACTACCTGGAAGACGATGACGGGGACGGTATTCCCAATTATCTCGAAACGAGTCACCTCAAGAGAGCAAGCAAATTACCGAAACATATCGACAGGGACGGTGATGGAATTCCAGACCATCTAGAGGGTGATTCTGATGGTGACGGTATCCCTGACCACCAGGAAGATGAGGATGGTGACGGAATTCCAGACTACCTGGAAGACGATGACGGGGACGGTATTCCCAATTATCTCGAAACGAGTCACCTCAAGAGAGCAAGCAAATTACCGAAACATATCGACAGGGACGGTGATGGAATTCCAGACCATCTAGAGGTGATTCTGATGGTGACGGTATCCCTGACCACCAGGAAGATGAGGATGGTGACGGAATTCCAGACTACCTGGAAGACGATGACGGGGACGGTATTCCCAATTATCTCGAAACGAGTCACCTCAAGAGAGCAAGCAAATTACCGAAACATATCGACAGGGACGGTGATGGAATTCCAGACCATCTAGAGGGTGATTCTGATGGTGACGGTATCCCTGACCACCAAGAAGATGAGGATGGTGACGGAATTCCAGACTACCTGGAAGACGATGACGGGGACGGTATTCCCAATTATCTCGAACGAGTCACCTCAAGAGAGCAAGCAAATTACCGAAACATATCGACAGGGACGGTGATGGAATTCCAGACCATCTAGAGGTGATTCTGATGGTGACGGTATCCCTGACCACCAAGAAGATGAGGATGGTGACGGAATTCCAGACTACCTGGAAGACGATGACGGGGACGGTATTCCCAATTATCTGGAAAATAATGGTGCTGCATCAATTTATTTAAATTTTTTGCGGAAATCGATCATGAATTTCAAGTCGTCTTATTCAGACTACAATGTTATTCATGATTACTTGCGTGGTGACACTGATGGTGATGGTGTTCCTGACTATCTAAAAGATAGTGATAATGACGGAGTATCAGATTTTATGGAAGATGATGATGTTGATGGAACACCAAAGTATGTAGATGTTGATTCTACAGGACAATCCCTGCAACATACAATTTCGTATAAAAAACACTACGATTTCAATAAAAATGGCATACCAGATGACTTGGAAAGTGATCAGGATGGAGATGGCATCCTTGACTTCATGGAAGATTCTGATGACGATGGTATTCCAGATTATCTAGAGGATTCAGATAATGATGGATTCCCAAACTATTTAGATGAAACATTTAACTCCAAACGTGATATCCATTTAAAATTTGAAGATAAAAATAAGAATGGGATACCGGATCATTTAGAAAGTGATTCTGACTATGACGGAGTTCTTGACTATTTAGAAGATTCTGATAGAGATGGTATACCAGACTATTTAGAAGATACTGATGCAGATGGTACACCAGATTACATGGATGAAGATGCTGTTACACAATTTTCTCCGAGAAAAATACGCCATCGTGGAAGCGGTCGAAAATTTGCTGATGCTGATAGAGATGGTATACCAGATCATTTAGAAGGTGATATTAATCAAAACAATATCATTGACTATTTAGAAGATTTGGATAATAACAGTATACCGGATTATCTTGAAGATTCTGACAAAGATGGTATACCAGACTATTTAGACGAAGATGCTAATACAAAATTTTCACCCAAAGTATTAAGATCATTAAAACCAACCAGGCATTATGCTGATATAGACGGTGATTACATACCAGACCATTTGGAAGAAGATAATGATGGTGATGGAATTCCAGACTACCAAGAAGATTCTGATTCGAATGGTATCCCAGATTATTTAGAAGACAGTGATGGTGATGGTATACCGGATTACATAGATGAGGATGCTACGACACAGTTTTCACCGAAAAAATATCGTAAATTACGTTCTTCTATGAAATTTGAAGATGAAGACGGTGATGGTATACCAGATCATTTACAAGGTGATTCCGATGGCGATGGAATTTTAGATTTTCTTGAAGATAGCGATGGTGATGGGTTACCAGACTATTTAGAAGATGCTGACGGTGATGGTATTCCAGATTATTTAGATGAAGATGCAAATAGTCAATTTTCACCGAAACATTTCACTGACAAAAATAAAGATGGTATACCGGATCATTTAGAAGGTGATTCAGACGGTGATGGTACACCGGATTATCTTGAAGATACTGATCAAGATGGTGTCCCAGATTATTTAGAAGATTCCGATAATGATGGTATACCGAATTATTTAGATAATGATGTTGTTGATGTGGAAGTTGAAGCAGTTATTGAAGCGTATGATAAAGATACTAACAATAATGGGATGGCAGATTATCTAGAAGATTGGGATGGTGATGGTATACCAAATTATCTTGAAGATGAAGATCATGATGGTATTGTAGACTTCTTGGATAAACAAGACAATCGTTTATTAAGAAGATTGACCAAAAATAAGAAATCAAAATTTCAAAATCCAAATGATAAAAATGCCAATTTTATACCAGATCATGTAGAGGATGATTTAGATGGTAATGGAATTCCAGAATTTAAACAAGATTCTGACGGTGATGGTATACCGGATTACTTAGATGAAGATTATTTTCATCACTTTCTAAAGGAGTCAAAAAAACATACTAAAAAGAAAAGAAAAGAAAGTAAAAAATCTTCGAGTAAAATCAAAGCCGTCCCTGGGATCCCAGACAGTTTGGATCATGATGCAAATAGTGATGGTGTACTGAAAGAGAAAGGTAAATGCATACATTTTTCCACTTATTAATTTTTTAAACAATAGTTTTTCTGTAGTAGTAAGGTTTATTTCAAAGGCAAATTTAACTAGTGGGATAGGACTCCTAAAAATGATGCAGATTCTCGTAGTTCACAGATAAATGGGTAGCGGTTAAAACAAAAAAAATAACGTGTATAGAATGTACTTCATCAGAATGAGTCATCTTAGCCACGTGATTATTTAGGTAAGGCCACAAAAATTAAACCAATCAGAGAACGTTATTATTAAGGAGCTGATCAATTATTAAATCGATATTCACATTTAGAATATGTTAAGGTATGCGGCAACAAATCGTAGACGGGATGACCTGACATGCCAGTACTCAACTATATATTAAATTTAGTTTTAATAAATTTATTGACAATCTCATTTCTTCGAAGTTTAGTCTATAATATTAAGGAATAATGTAAATACCATACACTGAAATGTTTCTGACTATGTATAGTTTATCATTTGTCTATCGATTTTTTTCATATTGTAGATTGAGAATGAGAAATAAGATAACTAAGGGTGTGTGTTTTTAAATCTTACACAATTTTGTCAAACAGATTATTTAAAACCCTTCCATTAAAAATCTAGTACAACCAGATAATCTATACACGAAACTCATTAAACGTTTCTTATTCATTGTAAAATAAAACTTTGTAGCTGAAACACTTAAGGGTATAGGATAGAATAGTCATTTATGAAATGTAATCGATTGTATATTGACACAAATTTAATACTAAAACTTAGTTTAACAAAATGATACTAAAGAAATATTATGAACGATTTTTGAAATTGCCTTAGTCACATGTATCGAGTGTTAATAAGCATTATACAAACTCTGGTGATGCTCTATGAAATATGGTTGGAAGAAAGTTAGGAGCGGCCAAACCAAAACGTGGCATCAGTTCTTGAAGTCACTAACTTCTAGTCTGAGCCATGTTGGTAGATGCAGACTACTTGGTTGGGGTCCCGTGACTATCGTAACCGATGGTTGGAGACTCTTGGTGACATGGATCAGAATCGATCACAATGGCGTCGGTGTATACACTCTGTCTTCCCTTAAACTATGACATTAAAATCGCTTCATATCTTCCGTTCTACGAACTAATTCTTTCGTCCTGTACTATATCCTTATTGCAATCTTTCTTTTATATATTACCACCTCTGAATTAACTACTTTTATGAATCCGGTGTCCATCTTGTTGTGTTAATGAGGTATGGCAACTTGGACCGATGCATATATGTGCCTGGTCCTACGTTGTAGCTGACTGACCATAAAATATGTATTATTCATAACAAAGTTTTCTTAATGGAAATATCAGTGTAATGAAGACATAGAATCATCAAATCACAAAAAGGGAATATCTCTGAAAACAACATCCATTATAAATAAGTTAAGATCTATTCAGTTTATCATTGAATCCTTTACAACATAATTTTGAAAACTTGTCTGATTAATTATCGGCTTTGTTAAAGCATTCGTATATCTGATAGAATTTCAATGTATAGATCACGTTTTGATGGAGTTTTATTCTCTGAGCTGGATGGTTTGGTCGTAGAGCTTTCATCGTACTTTTGAACTCTACAATTCTACCTGAAGTTTGTGCTGATGATGTTGTTCAAAAGAACAATGAAAGTTCCACGACCAAATCATCCAGCTCAGAGAACAAAACTCCATCAAAATTATCCACCTGAGGATTCATTAATCAAGACTTCAGTAATAACAAACAAACAACCAATTATTAATTGCACGTAAATATAGAGTTTCTTATAAAATCCTCTCAGTAAAGTTCTAAAGTAGAACAATCATTAAAAATATAGTTTGATAAACCTGAGTATAAAAATTTCGAACATAACCATGATAATTAGCAGCATTTAGATCAATGTTTCAACTAAAAATTTCCGAAATAGTGCAATTTAAGGCAGATGAGTGCAACTGAACGTATTATATTTCGAACTTGTAATGAGTGCGCAATCAAGTAGAAAAGAATCATCAGTTAGTACTAATACCGTAATAACCCAAATCTAAATCATGAACGGCTGGAAATAAATCTTTCTGACAGCTAGAATTTTATATCACTAATGGATGCCATTTTCTGTGAACTAGGCACTTTAATAAGCAATCATTTTAAACAACATCATCGACAACTACTTGATTTAAAAATAAACATTTTTATAATTGTTTACTAGTTCTGAGAACTTTATTTGTGATCGGTTGGTAACATAGTATTTGATGAGTAATTTATATTCCACTGTATTATTGTTGATACAGAAAATAAAGTAATATTTGAACACTTGAAAATATACCCAGAATCTAGACATTTAGATTTTTAAACTTACGATGAACAATGCTTTTAGTATGGATCAAATTAATAACGTCTATACTGACATATTTCAATAAGGTCAACGCAAAATATTACTTGTACAATCTTTGGAAATATTTAGAGACATATCATGGTTGAGACCATGAGTCAACTGAAGCTAGACCACCAAGGAAAACCTGGAAGTACTGGGTGGCCGTTTCGTCCTATTGTGGAACTTTTCGCCCCCCCACGGGATTCGAACCCAAGACCTATCGGTCTCGCGCGCGAGCGCTTAACCACTAGACCATTGAGCCGGCATCCAACGGTGTTAATATCGAACTTCAACCAATCCACGAAATTGAGCGGCACATCCACCATTGTCTTCAGTGAGTTACTATCTCACAACGGACCTGGTCGAACTCCACTAATCACTGCTTCTCACTAGAACTCCAGGAAATACCTCGTGAAGCCAGTCACTAGTGAGCATATGCTGATTAATATCAGATGGTGTTTTGTGGATATTGTAGGTTTTCCATGGTGGTCTAGCTTCAAATGACTCATGATCTCAACCATTGAAATTACCACAATATCCACAAAACCCTTTCTGAAATTATTTAACTGATGGAGAACAATAAATTCGCTTAAAATAAATCAAATTTTTCCTAAAAAACACAAATTAATTTTATTCGAAATTAACTTGATTTGTTTACTTACCAACATATATACTATTCAAACATACAAATATTCTCAGTAAAACGAATTCTCTATTTTATCTGTATATTTTCAGTTGCCGATCGAAATAACAACGGGGTACCAGATAATCTAGAGATGAAGGACTCTGATAATGATGGAATTCCCGATGATCAAGGTATTTCGTCTTAAAAAGCCATGAAAATTCCTTGCTTCCCCCCTCACGCACCGAAATGCGCTACAAATTGATATTGAATGGCTTAATAACTATTATTACTATTATGCATTTGTATTGTTTCATGAAAGAAGTATTAATTAATGTGTGCGTGCACGTAAAATCCAAATTGTTTGAAAATGCTCAAGATTATCAACTACATGTCGTCAAACATAGTTCCGCTCTAATAACATTCTCTTCTTGATTGGCATCCCTTCATCACCTCTCTTTATATTTTAACGCTTCCTTTTCTGATATTTCCTAATGAGTGAAAAAAATGCATAGATGGAGTCAATCAATACTGGATATATCCCACCGTCTTTCTTCTACGCTCATACATATGTATACGTGTTGATATTAACCGTTTTGTTATTGTTTCTGTTACTTTATTTCTACCCATTTGTTGTTAATCAAATCATGACGTACTACCATCTTTGAAGTAACCCAGATTTCTTTAAATGTTAGATGTTTTTATTTTCATTGATTTTCCGTGAATTTCTAAACAACGAAACTGCATGTCTTAATTTCCTCTAGGATCTTATATTGCGTTTGTCTATTTGTATGCTGAAGCTTTGAGCTGTATGTTAAATTTCTTCATCCGTCTAATTTAAAAATGTGATCATTGGATGAAAATGGAACATTAAGATTGCATGTTCTATAATGGGGATATTGAGTTAAAATGAGAAAAATTCCCCTACCTACAAATATAAAAGTTACTTAAACAGTATAGTCCCTAAAAATATTGAACACTTTTTAGATTTATGTACTCCCATTAAACTCTTCAATTAGTGTGTTTTACAGAAGTTATTGATAGAACATTTTATTACTCATAATGTAAACATTAAGTCAGCAAATATAATCAACATACAGAAGTACACCTAACTGACTACGGAATAGTATACACATAGTTCCCTTTATTATTTAAAGAGAGCAAGAACAAAGATTGTTCTTGCTCTCTTTATGGAATAGTAATCAGTGTTATATTGTCTAGTTCTAAATGCTTATCAAACTGTAATATGGTCACTAGTTGAAGTGGCTATTTGTCCGATACTGAGCAGTAAAACGGGGGGCTAATAGAAGGTCATGAATCTAGGTCCCACGATAGGTATTACCAGTTAACAAGGCACATCTCTAGTCTTAAAAGAATTGATGCTTCCAGTGAGATTTATATTTAGGTCATTACCCACAATCATAATCAGAGACGTTAGTTAGATCTGTAGTATAAAATTGCCACCAAAATTGAAAATACGCTTTTCTAATGACTATCAACTAGCATGGAATCCAAGATTCCCAGCTTCCTGCCGATCTCCAACCAATTTGTAGAATTATCTCATATACATAATCAAGACATCTAATAAGTAAACCATTTAATCTATTCGAAATTTTTTGTATTGATGAGTGACTAATAGTAGTAGTAAACTAACATAAATACGTAGTAAGTAGATCTATATAATTTTATACATACGATTTGGAAGTATGAAGACAATTTGTCAGTATAGCTTATCTCTTTTACGAAGAAGTATACGAAAACTCTAAAACCCGAAGTAAATGAGTTTTAATACTTAGTCCAACATGCTTCTTCGGAGGAATCCTTAGTGTAATAAACCAAGATTTACATGTATATGTATGTTAAGCACAAGAATTTCAATCATAACAGTGATATTCTTTGCAAAATAATCAGTAAGATTACAGCTTTGAAATGATAATATTTGAAAAGATTTTGAAGAATAAAAGAAAAATAATTCGACAAACTGTATTGACCACCAGACAGCCAAACCAGTAGCTTGTAAATATTTACGTACATATCTACTAAAAGGTTTCAATTAGTTCTTTAAATAACTTAATATAGACTATGTCTCTAAATTAAATAATGAAGAGATAAACAGATATTCGGTAAACAGGATACGAAAGTTTAAACACTGAATTTAAGTTCGATAGATAAGACTTGTGAAGGTTATCGTTTGTATTATAGACAATCTTCTATAATAATCATGCAATAACATGAATCAATTAGTATGCCTAATAATATTACTGTTGTACTAAGTGTCTTAAGTTAAAAACATTCTCTGCTTATAATTGTCTTATTGTTATGTAACAATGCAAGACAGTGAACCTTTTATTTTTTAACATTGATACACTTGTGTTTCGAAAATTGTTATTGTAAACATTTTCTACAAAAAATTTTTGTTGGAATGTTCTATTCTTTTTCTACTTAGACGATGACGACGATAATGATGGTATCAAGGATTATCATGAAGATCGAAATGGTAATCAGATGTTGGATATTCTTGAAGCAAAAGATACAGATGGTGATGGCATTCCTGATTATCTAGATGACGACGATGATGGGGACGGTATACCTGATTGCGATGACGATGATGACGATGGTGATGGTAAGCAAAACTTTCTGTTACTTGCGATGACTTCTGGATTCAGCTACAAGTGAATATCCGCATTCTATACACTTGCGCACCCATTAGCGAGAGAGAACTGAGGAATGGCTATAAAGCTTCAACTGACAAACCAAGTTCATTTGTCACAAGCCTTTGATATCTGTTCATTTGTCCCCCTAACCTAGACAACGTTCTGATGTGATAAAAATTCCAGAGATAATCAAGAAACAACGCTAATTTGGGATGAACTTTGATAACTTTTGACTATATGGTTTCTCAACAATATAAAAAATATGAACAATCATCGACAATACTGAACGTGAATAATTATCATAGAAAATCATTGGAAATTCCATTGCTGAAATTTAATCATTATTACTTCCATAAAGGATAAGGTTGAGACGATTTGATATTTTCTCATCTGCAGCCATCAAAGTCTTTATCTCAGTCAACAAGATTATCTAGACCTAAGCCCTTGGATAGGTTACTAATCAATGACTAAGTGTCAGCATTAAGTGTTCATACAGTTCAGGACTTCAATTGGGTTTTTTTTCCGGAATCAATATAGGATGGCACATGTTTCGAGATATAAGTAGCTCTATCTGTCTCGTTGAGTTTCACTTTTATATGTATTAGAGTAAAATATCTAAACTTACTTAAAGGTAGCTTCAGTAAGAGTACTAAAACCGCAATAGATTAATCGTCCACACTAAATGTCCAACATTTTCTAAATTTCTCCATAACGCTCATGTCCATTTGATTATTACGACCTCAAACTTAAAATTAACCAATCAAAGCTGTCAGTGTTAAGTTAAGCTAATCAGCCAATCAGGTATAAATATGGTGGTATGGTGATTAGTTAATTATAATGACAAATAAATCCATCTACACGCTATAGATCGAATATCATTTACAGCATGTTGATTTCTGTATTTTTTTATCTAAAAGTTTTTTCATCCCGTTTTATTAAATGAAATGATGAGTTATGCAATGGTAATTATTGGTTGTTATTTTCTGAAAGTAATGTAAGATGTAAATATTCCTCCAGTGATCACCTTTCCTCTGTGGGATTCGTAATCGATTGGCGGTTATAGGTAAGAGTAGGTGATTAGCCCGATCTCCACCACCCGGGTTACCGCTCACGTTAGTTCATGAATCATTCGTCTCATTATCCAGGAGGCACGACGCGGATGTGTGAGTTGGATTTCGCTCCAAACTATAAACGTAAATAACTTACAATACGTCAGCCTTATCATTTTAAATACTATCACGGACATTGATAACATATTCTTGAGTGAGTTGTATCTGGTAGCGTTTCAATCACTTGAAGTGTTAAAGATCATTAAAAATTCGATAAGCCTTCAGGTACAATAATCTGTATTATAATTACAAATCTGTGTCATGTCTGAGGATGTTTTCAATTTTTCACAGTTCACTTTTAATTGTTGACTTAAATCTACATAACTGAACAGACTAAGTTCCATTTCTATGTGGTCAATAAGAAATTATTATCTCTTTTTATCTCAATATCTATTAACGGTCGGTTGTATAATATGATGGTCTAATACTTCCGTAGTCTGTGAAGTTTAGTTTGACTACCGATCCTATAAAACAGATTACAATTTATCATAAAGTATTTTTGAAGGATGTTCATAATAGAGAAGATTGTATTGATTACGTTTTAAATTCTGTTGGATGAACCACATATCAGAAATACAAGAGATTACGTTTATATTTTCTGAAGTTACATTTACCCATCATTTGTGTATCTCAACAGCAGTACAAGTCTTCAGTTTTACGGTTGTTCACTAACCATCTTAAAAAAACCATTAAGTACAGTAAGTCTTATTCGATTTTGCATTTTAGGTATATTAGACATTGATGAAGACGAAAACAGGAATAAAATTCCTGACCATTTAGAAACCGAAGACACTGATGGGGACGGTAAATTTTGTTTAAAATTATTTGCTATCAACTGTTTTCCCCTTGATTTTTGACTAAACAAAAATCCATAAAATTTAGTCAACACTGGAATGCTATGCAGATTATTAGCTACTTTTCAGTCATTGTTTTATCAATTCAGTCTACCTTGGAAAGGGTCAGCTAGTTATATCAGTGTAGAGTCTAGCACAGATGTAGGTTGGCTCAAGTTGCCAAACTACTTTATGTAGGACGAGAGGTAACTAACATAGTGTATGGAAAAAGAGATTGGAATAATGTATTAGCTTGTAGCTCTTCTAGGGTTACCGCCAGTACAGAGACCTGGTAAAGGAGGAGGGTTGGGCAAGGGTCAGCAACCCCATCCCGTAGAAAACAACATTGCTAAAAAACGCTGACCATAATAAACAAATTAAACCATTTGAACTCTGCCCTCCGAGTTGAAGAATCTTCATTCAGAAGAACTATGACGCCTCATGGTGAAAGCCGAGATTCTTCGGAAATTACTAGACCTATGCCAATTCTAACAACCAGAGCAACAATTAATGTCGGTACATGGGATGCTCGAAAATGTAGATCGATTAAATAGCTATGGAAATAAGGGGATACAACTTGGAGGTTCTCAGAATAAATAAATGACAATAAAAAAGATTAAGCAGAGTGTAAAAGTATATATGAAGGATATAAAATTGATAGGAAGATCAAAAGTCGATACTTCTTAAATGATTTTACAATTTTAGGTTAAATCTGTTTTAGATATTTTGGAGCAGTGTGAACTTTTAAGATGTCGCGGGTACCCCTTCAAGTTTGAAATCGATTATAAACTATCTTCAATACCCAGATCTATGTTTATTTTAAGAACAAGTCTACCAATCTATGGTTTATGTAGTGAACTTCGAGTCACAATTTTCGATTACGAGTTATTGTTACTAATGCATAGAGCTGTTTTCGGATATGCGGGCTGTCCACTGTTGCCATAGAGATGAAACATCCTTTATCTTGGTGAAGCATTTCAGAAATATAGACTTATGATGCAATTTTAATGAGATTTACCTAAAGTTTTGCTTCTGTATGCCCTCAAATGAGTGAGTTGAATCTTGTTGGAAAGTGATGTATGATGAATTAAATCTTATTAATTGGATTAAATTTACATTGTTCAAGGAATCGTATCTTTAATATCCTTGGTCAGATTGTTGAATCGACATGTAAACTTGAGTCATATAATGTAACCGTACTGTATTGTATTGCATTCCAATTTTCTACCTCCTTTTTAGTTCGTTCTGGGTCGTTCAAACACTGTGTTCTCACTTTTATAATTTCTTTTCAGCCAATACTTAATTATTTATCTTGCGAACTTTGCGCTGTGCAAGAAATATTACAGGTACATCTTGTGTACAAGCACCAACTAGCACGAAAACTAAATACAGCATTTTCTGTCGACTACCTAACATCTAAATATAATGCACGTAATTTTGAGTTTCTTACACAAGTAACCACAATGTAACTTGATCAATAAGATTCAACCAGAACCAAGGACTAGACAAACAGTGTCGATATGACGAAATGCAATATGGGACCCTAAAGTTTTTATTTCTGTTCATCTGATCACTAACGTCTAAATGGAATAAAACAAAGCAGCTCAGTGATTATCTAGTCATGTTCTCAGAGTAAAAGTAAATTCTTACTAAATTTTTCGTCAGGTTACGTGAAGTCACTTCCCAATTTAACTATCTTATCCTTTGAAGAAACATTAATTGGAACCAATAAACATTTCTTATTTTGATTTTTCATTGTTTTGTAAAATTCCACTTTCATTTTGTCATAAAAATTTGTCTTTTTTTCTTAGGAATTATTGATCTACTTGATACAGATGATGATAACGATAATATACCAGACCACTTAGATAGTGATTCCAATGGAGATGGTATTGACGATAAAAAGCAAGACAGAAATCGTCATAAAACTACTAATCCAAAAGAAACTGTCAAGAAAAGTAAGTCCTTCTTTAATCTGTAAAAGCTTGAATTAATTAAATTCATTAGTTATGGCTTTTTTAGTTATTATGATATGATGAAGGTTTGGTTAAGATGACTACGGGGAAACGAAAGAAGGAATGTAACTCCAATTAATTGTTGTCTAAATTGGTTTGTTAGATGTTACTTAGATTAGTATCAAATATTGAGCTAATGACAACTGAAAGACACTGTACTCTTTAGATCGATTGACCTACTGCCTTCAGGACTTACAGTTTATGTGTTACCATTAACCCACTGGCCTCATCAGTCTTTACGTCTTAACTTTATATGATCTGTGAAATATCAATTCTATCATTTAATTTCACTGATAGTTATTCGTTTTTTACTGCTAAAGAAGAGTTTTATTTTACTAGTGCTTCTGTTTAAAATTATGTTTAATCGTCACTTGAAGTGTTGTAATTCTTAGAGCCTCAGAAAAGCGGTATTTTAGTTATGACTTTAAAATAAATAAGCTTCCTCTTCAGATAAAACCAAATAAATATATTTACTCTGTGCTTATTTGTTTACAATATTCAGCTACACAATTTATCAATATTTCGGTACATTAATATGTTACTGTACTAATATTGTAGTGACAAACAGTTTAAACTTGTTTAAAGGATACTTTTTATCCATCAGAAAACCTTTATTGCCAGAACATGAAGATAGTTAAAAAAATACCCTAATAATTTAATTTCTTTAGTGTCCATAAATTCAGTTCAACCGAACAAATTTTAACAACTCTTGTTACAAAATGATTTTCACCATGACTCAGTATTCTATTGAAGACAAGGAAAATTGCCGAATATTGAACAATCTTTACCATACAAGTAGTGAATACTTCATTAACATGACCTATCTACCTGCCTAGTCTTTAAATCACGGATCCACAGTTCATGGATTGTGTACCAAGTGCTACATACATTGGCCGACGTGTCATGATAAAAGACACATCTAGACTTCAAGTATTCAATCGCATGAGTTTTGTTTTAGATAGTATTCGCATTCTTTGAAACCACTAGATGACCTTTTAGATATATTGGTCGCTTGATAAATTCAAATTAAACGAGAAGAACAAGATTTGCAGAATAACACGAATTTATTATATTTCAATGCTTCTCATCATCTGTAAACGGCCTAAATTTACATTGGTGATAGAATTATAAGGTTTTACATACCGTGATCAATAACCTTCAGTTCGAGACGAAATAATAAACAATGAAAAAAGTTATTAGAAAGGGGTTTTGAGGAGATTGTAGTAGTTTAATGGTTGAATTCGTGAGTCGATTAAAGCTAGATCACTACGGAAAACCTGGAAGCACTGGATGGCCGTTTTGTCCTAATATGAGACTCCTCAGTGATACACATCCACGATCCCGCTCGCGGGATTCGAAACCAGAACAACAACATATTTGATATAATAGTGAAGACTGATTAGTATTCATGTGTCGAAGGTGAAGTCATAAAAGGGATGAAATTATAACTGAATGAATAAAAACATATAAGTGATAGTCAATCAAGGCACCTGGTTGATATAAGACTAATGTTTAACGTTGTGAGTGAATGTCAGTGGGATTCTTTTTAATGAAAGTATTTTAAATGATTAATTCTGTCAGTTTGTGTGCCAAATAAATCAGCGTCGTTCGGTGAATCAATTTTTGTGAAGAATCATATGACCCCATTTCCAATCTTTCATGTTTGCTACTGTGATATTAGAGAACGTAATGAAAACTATTCGAAATTCCATTATTTTTTCATAATCGAGTCATAGTAAAAAACACTTACCATTCATTTGCTGCAAAATATGATTAATAATAAATAAAATTTCCCTGTAATATGAATACTATTTAAATTATATTCATCGTTTATTAATATAAACAACATAGCAGAAAGAAATGCTTTATCGTATTGATGAAAGCGTTTTTCTCGCGACTGGTCTTGGTTGGTATTAAAGGGAAGAGAGATAGTTACTCAACATTATTGTTAACATTTATGTTGATTACTCTTACTTGATAAAAACAACCATAAAACATGATAAAATATTAAAGTGTATATATTTATTATGGTCCCGACCGTTGTTGCTACCTTGACGTGGAGGTCGAGCTTGCCTATCGTTATGATCTAATCGAGCTATACTGGCTGGAACAATCATTCCTCAAGGTCTTACCATGCCAGACAGGTCGGCTGAAGAGCGGCAAGACTAAAAGCAGAAAACCCAAGGTCCGAAGGCGAAGTCGTACTACTGACTGTACAGAGGTATAACGGCAGTAACTGTGATGAATAGTGTGTCTCCGAAGCACACATAGAAGATCCGGTGTGATCATTCACTTGACCTCACCCCGCCAAAACAGAGAGCCAACGAGATACACCCTCCGTGTGTCTGGAGACCCGATAGCTAGTTCTCGTGGACTGTCAGGTGTAGGCATAGCACTAAGTGCGAGGGCAGGACAATCACTATTAGTGTGGAACCCCGTTAACAGTCGTCTATGTTCTGTTCGGCTAAACAGCTCCGTAAGAACTCAGAAGGACGGGGAGACACGTCGTTGCCTTTTCATCGTTTCTGCCTACGCTCCCACTGACTGCAGCCCGGATGAAGTGAAAGATGACTTTTACAGAAAGCATACTTAACTTCTTCAGAAAGCTAAACGTTCAAACATAGTACTCGTAGCAGATGACTTTAATGCCCAGGTAGATAGCTCAGACCAAACAGAAAGGGATTTAGGTGGGTATTTTGGTATTCCGGCTCAGCGAACAGATAATGGGGATCATCTGCTGCAACTGATCAGACAATCGTTTATTTTTAACAAACACTAATTTTAAGCATAAGGAGAGACATCATCTAACATGGCGACCCCCTACACCAACCAACGATGGACTCAAATAGACCATATTGCCATCAGTCATCGTTGGAGATGGTCGATAGAAGGTTGTCGCTCATTCTGGAATGCCTGCTTCGACTCCGAACATGCTCTAATACGGACACGCATCTCCTTACACCTCACTGGACGCAGAAAAGCCACACTAAAAAGACCCATTAGAACTGAATTGAGTAGTGAGTAGGTTCCAGGAACAACTGAGGTCACACTTAGGTAGCTCTGAAAACGAGGCTGACCCAGATGTTGCTTGGAAAGATATATAAACAGCTGTGGGAACGGCAGTGACAGCTGTTAGTGATTTAAACCAAAGGTTACAGAAATTAGATTAGTGGAAAGTATATACTCGGCACCCAATTCTTGTCAAACTATTCGTTCTAATACTGACGAAGATTCGTATAAATTACTTAATTCATTTTTGAGTTAGCGGTAACAATATGATTTCAGCCTTGCAATCCTACCACTGGGACACTAAATACCAGATATTAGCTAGTATAACCAGTATTATCATTAGGACTTGACCATTAGACAATTAGACTCAATACTAGACCAAGTACTTGATCAATACACTGAATGATAGACAATGTATACACAGATATACGAAATTCGAAGCAAAATTGAGAACCAAACTAGATTAGACCATAATTTACTGATACAAATCACAAACAGTCAATATATAGTGAAGTCTGAATAGAAATCAACCTTATACAAATAAAAATAATCTACATATTTCTATCTTTTTTATTAGCCAACCACAACTGAGCGTCACCTGACAAGTCAGTTTCGTATATAATCGAGATTCTTGTTTATTTTTTCATTCTAGATAGAGAAACCAAAACGATGGTGCATTCATCTTCACCTAAATCTCAACTACCAGGACATTCAAAAAGCAAATCACTACCTAAAAAGACAACAGAAGATTATGATAATGAAGACAGTGAAAAAACTGATGATGATTATGACAACAAGAAACTATCTAAAATGAAAGACAGTGGTATCAATAGTGATAATGATGATGACGATGATGATGATAACGATGAAGACGAAGATGACGCCGATGGAGCAGATGATGGCAAACCTATGACGAAAACTAGGTCTATAGTTTTGTCTATATTAAAACGAATCGAAAACATCTTTGGTGTTGAAGATGATGATGGTGATCATGATGCTGAAGAGGATGATTCACATGAAGAAATTCATGATCATTAAAATGTTATTTTATCCTCATTTTTATACTAAAGAGATTTCATATGATTTTATCAAAACTAAAGTTGTTTTAGAACCATTAAGTAGTACAACCAACCATTACTACTCATTCTCATGACTTAGTTTGCATCGGTTGAATATACTAGCTCAATTGACAAATCTATTGTTATGATGTATGATAATGTGCAGTTCTGTACCTTACCATTTTTTTTCGTTTTAAAGATATTCTTACATACTAACTAAATCCTTAGAATAATACTCTCACACAATAGCTTCACTTTTCATCCACTCAGTCTTTTTGTTCTCCCTCTTCAACCCTTCTTTATTGCTTCATTTTCGAATCAGTTAAACTATCCATCTTGTAACTTATCCAATTTCTTCTTGTTTTTATTTGCTTTAGTGGAAATAGAAAGAATTGAACAGGAAAACAACAAACAAGTACACAAAAGAGACTAGATTAGAAAATAACAAGAAATATGAAAATCAATAGAATAGAGTTATATACAACGTTGATTTTCCAGCTCTTTTGTTCTGACCAAGTAATTTTGCATTTTCGTTGATTACACACACACAAACTAAACACATGTTTTAATGGTACTACTACTACTACCACTGCCTTTCTTTCAACTACTATGAATTAGTTATTCATTCATCAACTGTAATAAACTCTTTGTGAATGTTTATTCCTTGTTTTCTTTCGGTTTTTCAGTTTCACTTCTTCATAATCCACTATTTTTCGTTCGTATACAGTAGAAATATTCTGAAAACCCTATCTCCCTACATATAATGTTTTTATTTTTCTCTTTTCAACTTTCAATTTAAATTAAATATAGACACATTTAAACAAACAAACAAATTACAGCACAGAAATTAAATATTATTTAGTTGAGTTTACTTATTTTCCTTTAGCATGTTTTCGTTAATAAAATTTACTGGTTTTCTTTTGAAATATTGTGTACTCAGTAAAGTTGGATTCAGATCACGTTTCTCATCGTATTTCGAACTCGTCAACGAGATCTTTATTCATCCCACTGTTGATATTCACGAGGAAACTCGAAGCTTCAAACTTCAACGCACTATCGACTAAACTGTTACCTTCAAATGGTCACTAACTCTTCTAACAGGTATGAAGTTATTTATAAAGGCTTTTATTTCTCCGTTGTTGGTATGGGTAACTACATCAATCATTCTACTGGCATATACACATTCTGAGCGAATTATCTCAATATTACCAGTCACAACTAAACTTTACTAACAATTCGTGACTTAATGGAAATCATACAGGCAATCCTATCAGGATGCTTACATACCAGTTGAAACTCAATCAATTAATCAGTCAGTCAGTAACAACGTAGAACTTCGTACGTACGTACATCAGTTCGAGTTGCCACACCACATTAGCACAGAGATGCAGTTGTCGATTCAAATCCCGTAGTGGTAGAGGTAATAAGAGTATAAGCAGTAATCGGGAAGATTAGGGTTTGGAGATGTTATTTAAAGAGTATAATCCAGTGAAATAAATTTGGAAAGAGGAAAAAAGGGACATGAAGGATTCAGAAGATTAGAATTTGGGAGAACACAGAGAGTGGATGCACCTGCGCCATTGCAAACGATTTTGAGCCATGTCATTCAGGGTCTCTAACCATCGGTTGCTATCATCTCGCGGTCCCCAACCAGGTAGTCTACACCTACCAACATGACTCAGTTCACTTGTCAGTGACTTCATGGACTTGTGCCATGTTTTGGTTTGGCCGCCCCTAGCTTTCTTCCAACCTACTCCTATACCACTGAACATAGCACGTCGAGGCAGTCGGTCGTTGGGCATACGTAACACGTGTCCCAGCCATCTCAACTGATGAAGTTTCACTACTTCATCAATTGATTTGCCATCCTTACCTAGTACCCGTTTCCTAACAACTGTGTTACTTACTCGATGGTCCCATGATATACGAGCAATGTTTCGAAGACACCTATGATCAAATACTAGTAACCTACGAATATCCTCTACTCTTACCGGCCATGTTTCACTGCCATAAAGTAGGACGGAACGAACTGCTGCGCAGTAAACACGTCCTTTGGTTGATAGACGGATATCTCGCCTACGCCATAAATGACGCAAGTTGGCAAAAGCTAGTCGAGCCTTCTGTATCCGTGCTGAGATTTCGTCACACACTAAACCACAAGGGCTGATGAGACTTCCAAGATAAGTGAAGCGGTCGACACACTCAACTACTTCACTCCCTATCACTAGTTCGGGTGTCGATGTAACCCAATCCTGAAGCAACATTTTGCATTTCGAGGGAGAGAATCGCATCCCGAACATGCTTGCATTGTTGCTTAGAGTGGTCAGAAGACTCTGCATTTTGTCAGCGTCTTCACCAAATAAAACTATGTCATCAGCATATTCTAAGTCAACAAGTGAACCTCCCGGTAGAAGTTCAACCCCTGTAAATTTAGATGAGGAGAGTGTTATCTCTAAAAGTACGTCGACCACAAAGTTGAACAAGAATGGGGAGAGTGGACAGCCCTGACGAACACCACTTGAGGTAATCAATTCTGATGACAGTTCGCCATAAGCTCTCACTCTACCAGTTGTGTTCGAGTAGAGAGCCTTTATAAGGTTAATGTACTTCTTTGGTACTCCTTTCAGTGACAAACACTGCCATAGAACCTCACGATCAACAGAGTCGAATGCCGCCTTAAGGTCGAGAAATACTACCATTGTGGGGCGTCTGAATGTGTGTCTGTGTTCTAGAACCTGACGTAGTGTGAATATCTGATCTATACAACCACGTCCAGGTCGAAAACCAGCCTGGTTTTCTCTAATCTGCTCTTCACGAGCTTTAGTTAGGCGTCGAAGTATTATTGAAGCTAATATTTTAGACACTATATTAGTCAAACTGATTCCTCTGTGATTGTCACAAGAGGACTTTTGTCCTTTCTTATAGACTGGCACAATCAGTGATTGAGACCAGTCAGATGGGATTACGTCCAGTTCCCAAATTCTACCTAAGACCTCAGTTAATCTCATTGCTAATACTGGACCACCATCCTTAAAAATCTCAGGAGTAAACCTGTCAGGGCCTGCTGCTCTCCCTCGTTTCAGATTTCCTATGGCTTTTTCAACTTCGTAAAGGGACGGAGGACCTACATTAACTTGCCATTCAGGTTGACTAGAGATCGTGGGAAACCGAAGTGTGGCTGAAGGCCAGTTGAACTGATCCCTAAAGTGTTCTGCCCATCGATCCAATCTCCTGGATTGAGAATGAATAATATGTCCATCTTTCTCTGAGATTGTTTCGCTAACGGTCGGGTTCCTAATTCCGGTTTCCTTAACGAGTCTGAACAATTGTCTGCTATTACCTATTGCCGCTGCCTTTTCCATCTCTCTTGCTTTCGCTACCCACCACTGTTCGCGATCATTGCGTAGACTTCTTGTCAGCTTGCGCTTAAGCTGACTCCGCTCTTCATTATGTTCAGAGCCAGGTGGAATGAGTTTCCGAGCATCTATCAGTGCGATAGATGCTGCTGAGATCCAGTGTTGCTCCCTAACCTTCTGGTTTACCTTACTAGCAGATATCACTGCTGTTTCCACAGCTTTTCGGATATCATTCCATGCTGCATCGGGGTGGGCATCACATACATGGCTGCCTAACTGTTTTCCTAGTTGTTCCTGAAATATACTCTTAGCTTGACTATCATTAAGTAGGCCCTAAGAGGTTTCCTTGCAGCGTCTTTCCTACGTCCAGTAAGACGCAAGCAAATACGCGCTCGCACTAGAGCATGATCTGAATCTAGGCATGTGCTCCAGAATGAGCGACAGTCTTCTATCGAGCCCCTCCATCGGTGGCTGATAGCGATGTGATCTATTTGGGTCCAACGTTGGGACGAATTAGGGGGTCGCCATGTTAAAAGATGTTTTTCCTTATGCTTAAAGTTAGTATTTGCAAGGAACAGGCGGTTATCTGAGCATAGCTGCAACAGACGGTCGCCATTATCTGTTCTTTGAGCCACGACACCATAAGATCCACCTAGGTGTCTTTCCTATCGCTTAGTTTACCTACTTGAGCATTAAAGTCACCGGCCACTATTACTACATCCGAGCGCTAGCTTTTCGGAGAAGGTCCGAAAGCTTTCTGTAAAACTCATCTTTTACATCATCTGAGCTGCAGTCAGTGGGAGAATAGGCAGAGACGACGAAGAGGCAACGACGAGTGTCCCTATCTTTCCGGATTCTTACTGTTCCGTTCAGTCGGACAGCGCACAAACGACTGTCTACTGGGATCCACTCTAAGAGAGCTAGTTCTGCCCTAGGACTCAATGCTATACCTACGCCGGCGAGGCCACGGGAAGCAGAATCAGGGCTTCCAGATACACGAAGCGTAAATCGAGTCGGTTCTTTATTTTGGCATGGTGAGGTCAAATGAATGACGCTACTTGGATCCTGTATGCGCGTTTCGGAGACGCAGCACACATCGATGGCGCGAGATTCTAAAGTTTTAGCTAAGGAAGCCTGCTGTCCTATTTGGCAAAGTGTTCGTACGTTAAAAGCTCCTACGTGTAGTTTAGAGCGTGGTTTCAGGAGACCAGGAATGGCGTTCCACGTACTCGAATCGTTTGCCCTAGCGGTGCGAGGTGATAAAGAGACGTGAGGAGGGTTAGTCGTGGAGATAAGAGAGGTATTAGGAGGTGTAGGAAGGATTTGAATGTGACCACCTTGGTCTCTTGTGCTGTTACGGGTATGAGGGCTGATGTCACTTCCCGGCTGCCCACACCGTGGAAGGGTATTTCTTGAGGAACCTGAAAAGGAAATTGGATTAGTGTTGGTCTTGACGACCTGGGAGCGTGACCGCAGAGCCCAAGGGACAACTGCTTGAGGCCGGTCGCGCACGGCCTTTTTGTGGAAGGTTTTTGACGTGTTAGCTCCGTTCTTCAAAGGGCCTTACCGCCGGAGACGGAAATCCGTGAGGTAAGGTGAGGTGTGACATTTTTAGGGTCGACCTTTTCTAACCCCACCCCTCCTTGTGGGAAGGCAGCATCGCTGTCATGCTGGTTGTCCGAGGGAAACACCTTACTGCTGTCACACCTCTCTACAGTCAGCAGTACGACTTCGCCCTCAGACCTTGAGTTGCTGCTTTTAGTCTTACCGTTCACCAATCGACCTGCCTGGCATGGTAGAACCTACAGGAACATATGTTCCAGCCAATATAGCTCGGTTGGGTCATCACGATAGGCAAGCCCGACCACCGCGTCAAGGTAGCAGCTTCGATCGGGCAGTCAATTAATAGTAACGTAGAACATGGAGCTTCTCCATCATATCACTTTATAACAAACACTAGCATAAAAACTGCCCAGTAATGCAATTAAATTCGATCTAAAGGTTAAGAAATATAACTATGATTGAGCGTAGATTAACACATCTGTATTCAAAAATTTGACTAAGAGTAAGCATCTGATTGATACAGCTACATCTAAGTCTGGAATTAGTTTGCTGTCTGCGATCTGTAGTTAAGACTTCAATAATTAAAAGTATTCAGAAGCTAACGTTTATGAGCGATTTCACTTTCATGTGTTTCACAAGTACACATTAATAACTTTTTTAAAGAAAAGATTTCCAGTTTGCCTGTCCCATTTGAAATTCAATAAAAAAACAACCACTAAAGAAGAATAGTCAGTCAGTTCATTGTCGACGAATGGAACAAATGTGTGTTATCCAAAGTTGTTATAACACAGTAGCAAGACGAGATAAAATTACCAAAATGAATAAGAATATCAAGAAGAATATTCTGAATTTGCTTACGTCTGTTGAATGTTTATTAGACGCCTAATATCTTTAATGTTGAGACATTGAATTACAGACAAAACTTCAAATTGTTTTAAGCTTAACGAACCTAACATTGTCAAATTAATTGACGAATAAGATGAGTGAGTAGTAATACAT